TTTTTGCCACTTTTCATTCACAGCCCCCCCCCCCCCCCCCCCTCCAAGAGTAAATGAGTGAATGAGTGGATGAGTGGATGAGTGGATGAATCAGTGACCGAATGAATCAAGTACTTAATCACAGTGTCTAATACTCCTCCTCTGCCCTATTTGGATGGTACCTGGAACCATCATCCCCTTGGAAGTCGGTTTGGTTTCATTTTGCACTATCAATTGTGAAATTCCTCCACAAGAAATATGAATGAATAACCATGTACTCGTTTCCGGCTTTAAATTCGATACATTCATTTTATATGGACAAAACCCTCCCTCACGTCTGTCAACACCAGCTCAAAACCAGGGTTAGGGGAGGTTTGGTTTAGATAGATTGGGTTGGGATTAGAAATCATGATTTGGAATTAGGGGAGATAAAAAAGGGTAATAGGACCCATCTGACCCCCGATTCTCCCCCGTCTCCCAATTTCTTCCCAAATTCCTCTTCTAACCCCAAGTGCAAAACCCACTCGCACTTATTTTGGGTGGAGGCGGTAATGTAAAATAATATACACCACAAATAGCATCAACAACAAATAGATGACAAAAATATACACAAGAATCAAGGAAGAAATCCATATCCCAAGCACCAAACAAACCCCCCCCCCCCCCAATCCCGCATCCCAAAAACAACAACACCCCCTGCCAAACAAAAGCAAGAGCCCATAGGAAAAAAATGATGATGACGATGAAAATACGGTCATCAAGCATACGTCTCAAAAATACTCGGACTCCCATACCAATCCACCTCCTCAAACAACAACGGTGACGCATTTGTCGACGGCACCGAGCTCGACGTACCAGAGAAACACCCGCCCAGTGCACCTCCACCTCCACCGCCAAGACCGCCAACACCCACCACCAATCCATCAACGATAAAGGGCGGCGTATCGACAGGCGTCATTGTTTCCGACTCGGCTGCCGTGAGCGGGAGGAGGTCCAGCTCTAGCTCTAGCTCTAGCTCTAGCTGTTGCTGTTGCTGTTGCTGTTTGCCTGTAGAGGTGGTGGTAGCGGTGTTGGTGGCGTTGCTGATGTTGCTGTCGAAGAACTTGTAGAAGTCTGTGTTTGCGGCTGCGGCTGTGTCGAGGAGGGGGGCGTAGGGGTCGTAGGGGGAGAGGGAGCCGCTGCTGTAGCCGCTGGTGGTATTGTTGGTGTGGTGAAGCGGTGTGGAGGGGAAGGTCAGGGTGCAGGTTGGGGAGTCCCAGGGGAGTTCGTAGTGGTCGAGGAGGGTGCGGTTTGTGAGGATGTCTGGTGGTGTCGTTGTTGTGGAAGTTACAGTTGTCGTGGTGGACTGTGGGGGGTATGTGTTGGATTGCTGTTGTGGTTGAGCTGGTGATAGATTGGTGTTGGTGTCGTTTGCTATGGAAAAGCCTCTATTATGATTATGATGAGGCAGAGGACCAGGAAGATGATGGCGGCTATTACTGAGATTGTTATTACGTCCTGCATCCCCTCCAGCACCAGCACCAGCACCAGCACCAGCTCCGCCAACCAACATCCTATCGAACTCATTCCAGTCAATCCGTATCCCGCCCGCATCGGACAGAGGAGCGGTCAAACTCTGCGAATCCGTAGCAGGTGAGAGCCCATCCACCACCAATCCCTCCGCGACAACGTCAGCAGAGGAAGTTTCCCTCACCGCCACCCCCTCGCCCTTCCCGTTACCATCCCCATCATCTCCCCCTCTCACCCCCTTCGCCCCTTTCGCGCCCGCTCCACCACCATACCCCGCATACCCACCTCCACTCGCACTAATCCCCTCCTCCAACCTCTTCAAATACCCCCCCATCTTCTTCCCGTCCATGACCTCCCTCGCAAACCTCCCCGGCGTAATCCCAACAACCTTCTTAAAAACCCGATGGAAATGCGACGGCGTCAGCCCTGCCTCGTTCGCCAGGTCCTGTAGCGTAGGCCTCTGCATCCGCCTCCTCCCCTGCGCTTGCCCTTGTGCTTGTCCCTGCGCCTGTGCTTGTCCCTGTCCTTGTGCTTGTCCCTGCGCCTGTCCCCGTGCCTGTGCCCCTTGCGCCATCCCATTACCCCCCAACGCCGCCCTCGTCATAGTCAAACACGCCCTCAGCGCCAGTTTGATATGCGGATCCGGCGGCGCGCACAGGTCCTCGGGCTTACAGCGCTTGCAGGGTCTATAGCCTGCTTTCTCAGCCTGTTTAGGGGTGTCGTAGAACTCAACGTTGGCACGGCGGGCGAGGCGGGCAGGGCAGCGGGGGCGGCAGTAGATTTTGGTGGTGCGGACGCCGTAGACGAAGTCATTGGCTGTTGCGTCACGGTTGACGATTGCACGCCAGCGGGTGGAGGACGTTGAGATTGGCATTTTTCTTTTCCTTTTTTTTTTTTTTTTTTTTTAAATATATATATATATATAATTCCTTTTATTCTTCAAGGGTTTGGTTGGTTGTATATTTTAATTGTAATTGGTGAAGTTGGGAATTTGATATGGATTATCGTTGTTGGTTGTTGTAGAGAAAGCAGCCGGTTGCCACTGGCTGTCTTCCGCAGGGTTTCTTGGAAGGTAAAGGCTCCTGGTATATGGGAGGTGTATATCGCCAGCAGGAGCAGCAGAAGGTATCACTTCGGTGGTCGCTTCAGAGGCAGCTGCAGCAGGTGTAACGGAGGGCGGAGAAGTATGGCAGCGGCGGAGGAGAAGGTGGTGGCGGTGGTGAGGGCGTGACTTGCAAGGCCCGCGGTGTGCAATGCCATCAAAGATAGATATTGACTGCTTTTTTTCTTTTTAATAGTGTGGAGTAGGATGTATACTTTCTCTCTTCGGTCTCTCTGGTCTCTCTGTCTCTCTATAATGTCGATCTCTCTCCTTTGTCAAGTAGAACGAGTCCTGGATAGACGCCGATAAATAATATTAGTTAGATAGGGGCCGTTTTGGTGTCTCTCGAGGGAGCCGCAGGAGTATGTATGTACATCTGTACCGACGGTTATGCATATATATATAGAGATTTTACGTAGTTGAAATGCCAGCAAATAAGTCTTTGAATAAGTCTGCTTCTCTCGCTCCCATCGAGTCAGCGAGTTTCCCTCTGCCCTCCCAGCCAGCCCTTGGCCCGCCTAGGTATATATATGTGTATATATGTGAGTGTGTGCGTACATGATACACATATGCTTTCCAGGCAGCCGCAAAGCCCTCGCATCTGCTAGTCGTACGACACCTCGCGCGCGCCCCCCGCTCCCCCGCTCCTTCGTCCCAGCACCACCCGGGCTGCTGCTGGCCCCGATTGGCGGCTGTCCGCTGGCGGGAGGCGCCATTGGTCAGTTTGGCAGCAATCACGAGGCGCCAGAATTCTCCGCGGCATCCGCCGTCATTGGCCCGTCCGGTGATTATGTAAACCTACGTAGGCCAAGCCGTCTGCCAAGCAATGGCTCAGGGTTTGCCCTAAGCCGGCGTGCCACGTGATTTGCCAGCCCTTGGTGGGTCCCCCTTTCTAGGTTTGTGAGCTGCGGGAGTTGCCCGCTGATTGGTGTGTGGGTGGTCTGAACAGGATGCAGCGGGAGCCGACGGGGAGGGAGCCGAGGGTAAGAGGCGAAGGGGGACGGACAGCCCGGGGGGGGGAGCCAAGGGGGGGGGAGGCCAAGGGGGGAGGGAGGCAGGGGGAGAGGCGCAGGGGGAGAGACGCAGGGGGGCGAGGCCTATGGGCGTGGAGGGAGTTGGTACGTGGTTGAGTCGGTTCAAAGCCGAGTGATGACGGCGCCAGTTTAGTTATCGGTGAGCGGGGTAGTGGGTTTGGATGGTTTGTGTGCGCAGTTAGCTCAGTTACAAGAGGATTTCGGCTGGTCTGGGCCTGTTGGGGATTGTATTCTATTTTTGTTCCTGTGTGTAGCGTTGTGGTGGGATACAAGGCACGTAGACGGAGAAGGAGGTGGGATGGTTATGAGAAGTTCAGGTGAGTTGGGGGAGAGGCTCGTTGGAGTTCTTGGAGGGAGAGAAGACCAGCCTCCCATCATCGTCAGGCAGCCACCAGATATCCTCTATCACACTTGAACGGAGAAATTACATATGCACTTCAACATTTCAATTTAACCTGTCCACCGCTGTTAAAAAAAACAAATAAAATAAATAAAAAGTTAACAAGGCCATGGTATCTCCTGGCCATGCAAGAGGCGCATCCCATCCCACAGACCCCATTTCTAATGTAAACGGATCATCATCATCATCATCAGTGGCCCCATTACCCATGCCGTTGGGAGAAAGTCAAATGCTGCTGATTGGCAGGTTAGAAAGCTCTCTCGATGAACGCGGAAGGGATGGGACGTCAAAAAGGACTGAGATACGGGGAATAACCCACCCCTATCGTGTCTACATTTCCCCGTGTCAAGATATATCCAGATTGGATATCCATTGATATCACTGGAAGTCGCGTATTCCCCTCCCGTTGGATTCCGTGGGATGCAGGCAAATTGAGCAGAGAAATGGAGTCTGAAAATGGAGAAATAGATTGGAAGGTAGCGCATGTGCATTTCTCAGTGAGGGAGATGGGCAGGGACCGCTGGGGCGATTCAGGTTCCAAGGAATTTTTCATGAGCCGGTAACCCCCCGTCCAATATCGACAGCGCCGGCGCGCTGCCTGGGATGGCATGCTCCAAAATAGTAAAATGCAATGATCGACAATCTAGTTAACTACACGAAGTTGTGGTCCTCCCACAGCTTAGCGAAACTATATAGACTAATACACTCCCAAGCCGACTCGAAACGTCGATTGCCATCACAGACGCGGCGGAAGAGGTAGAACATCCTGCAAGGTTTACTGCCGCTTTAAATAAGACAATGGCCCTCAAACCCTCACCAGGGTTCGGAATATCCCATCCAGGAAGCAGCCGCTTAAATCTCTGCCATACACGCAGGCCTCCGTCACAGTAAAAGGATTGAGGAACTGTTCCGCGTGCTCAAAACACACCAGGTGTGTGTTGATCAGCCGCGGCAGCTGCCCGACCTGTGATTGGCTCGGTGAGTGAACGCTAGGCTTAGGAAGATTTCAGACTTCAGGTCAGGGGCGCCCGTGGCATATTGGGTTAGGCGTTTTTCAGAAAGACTTGCTGACCGGAACCAACCACCGCATATATATAAATATACGTGTGTTGGGGAAAAAGCGGTGTTCTCTCTGATCAACCAACTGCTTGCCCATCGAGTCTCAAAGTCCCCCTTAGGGACCTTAGCCGTTTCACAGCGCCAGTCTCGATGCCCAGAAAGCAGGATACTTGCCAGGTCCATAGTCTGGATGGTTGGTTGGTTATTTGAGTAAAATTAAATAACTTGCGGGGATGCGCCAAACCTGCAAACTCTTAAAGACCACGTGGCTCTCACTCAGCCTGTATTCACAACATCCTTGGCCCCTCCCAGGACGACAACAGCTGGGTCAAACGCTGCTCTTTCGGCCGCGGGCGAAGAGGGAGCAGGTGTGCATTGTGGGTGGCAACCAGTGCTGTTAATCGCACCATATTTGTTTCCCGGAAGTTGCGGTCGTGTGTGGCTTTTGCAGCAAGAAATCTTATGGCAGTGCAGTGCTCTTCAGAGTCAGATGAAAACACCTCTAAGACACTGAAAGCAAAAAGGCAAAAAAAATAAAATAAAATAAAATAAATAAAATTAAAAATTAAAAAAAAATTAAAAATTAAAAATTAATAATAATAATAATAATAATAATAATAATAATAATAATAAAACCTCTGTCATATTAGTTTTTTAGGTGTTTATCGGTATATTCATGTTAACGTAATCAATCCCCTACCGGAATATCACCTAACGGATCAACTTTCATCCAAATCATTCATGCTCATTAAAAAATTCAGTATGCCAACCACCCTCACTAAAAAGACTTCTAATCAGGAAGCCAGGGTTTTATCAGTCATTAAAGCTTATAAATCTCAGCAAATTACAATTATTAGAGCTGCTTTAAGTTATATAACATTCTCTATTCCTCCCTGATCTATAGACTACGCGGTCGAATCACACGCGAATGCTCAATTAAAAAATTGAAAACTGACCTCTACAGAAGAAGATTCTCTAGTTGAATGAATAATCTCCATGGATGAGAGAGGACAGCCTCTCTGAATCATGACTGTATGAGAAATGACCAATCTACCACTTGCAGAGCCTGGATTCAGTGCTTCTACTATTGTAGGAGAATGTTGAGTCAATAGATTTATACAACAGCATCCTGAACTAAAAGACAAAGTTCTCACGCCATTACGACTACCAGCGAGCTCAGTGTGAGGATTCAAAGATTCTACATGAGTGGTTTATCTTGGTCGATCATACAATAAAGAAGTATGAGATTGTGCCCGAGGATATCTACAACTTTGATGAGATTGGCTTTGTGATGGGGGTTATCTCAACAGCCAGAGTGAGTGATCACTAGAGTTGAGAAGGATAATAAGCCATCTCTTGTGCAGCCAGGGAATAGAGAAGAAATGTCAGCTGGCCGTGCATGGTGCTGCTATATTAGCAAAGGAAAACACAGAGCTGAGAGCTGCCAACACCAGGCAGAAGTGAAAGAGAAATCACGTTTTTATATAGCTAAGGAAGGAATCCTAACAGCTCAAGACGCATTAGCTAGGACTGCTAGACCTCAGGAGCCTGATCAATGTATGGAGGAAGGGGTTGAGGATTTGAACCCAGGGACCAGAAAGTGAAGACCCCCAACCTGCAGCAAGTGTCATACACCTGGACATAATATTAGAGAGTGCCAATAGATCTAAGTGTCTATCCTATATAATTTCTATGTATAATTCCTCGTGGTTGTTGCTTAATTTGAAATTTTGTCAGATAGAATGGTGGGGGTGATTGATTACGTTAATTGTTGCAATCCATTGTCTGTCTGTCTTGAATTTTCTCAAAAGGGGTTTGGAAAATCCCACAAGAGATGAAACCTGAAGGAAATTGGAAGACTTTTAAAAAATATATCATAATATTTCGTGCTTTCATTTTTGATTCGCAAAACAGGGTTGACACATATTCAATCTTCTCCTTCACCTTGTCCCGTTTTACGTAGTTCTAATCCGCCTCTTCGCCATATCCCACAGGTTATTTGTACCATATATTGCGTACAGGGGCGTGGAAGAAAATTATGGAGTTAAAAACAAAGAAAAGGGCGTGATTAAAAAATCCGAGCATTTTAAATAATTTTATTCCCACTCCAACCAACCCATCATAATTTGCACTTATGCTAACAGAGGGGGAAGGGGGGAGAGGGGGGGGGGGGGAGGAACAACAGGGACGACGCACAGGGGGGGCATGAGAGTGAAAAATGTAAAAAAAAAAAAAAAAAGAAGAAGAAAAGAAAAAAAAATTGGAAGAGGGGGGGGAACAAAAAAACAACATCGCCCAGATACACAAAGATGATAAGAAGAGGAAAGGAGAAGAAAAAAACCAACAGGCCAACACCCAAGTCCTCTTTTCCTTCTTCTAATCCTTGGTCTTCTGGGTACCGCGGAGCAGACCAGTTCTTCGGGCAGCGATGAGACCGGCTTTTTGACCAGCGGATGCGTACCGGGAGATTGTCGAGGCTTTACCGATGTGTTGATGGTTACCACCACCGTGGGGCTGGGGGGTGTTTTGGTTAGTTATGGGATGGATTGTTTCATGGGGTGTAGAGGAGTGAACTTACATGGTCGACGGGGTTCATAGCAACACCACGCGTCTTGGGCCATGAGTTGCGCTTGACGGCGAACTTGTGCTTGGCGCGGGATGCCTCTGTAAGTTTTTTATTGGGTTAGAATCATATTTTTGTGTATTTCTTCTGTCCAAAGTCTCGTTCCAAGCAACGATCCTGGTGATTTGAACAATGAAGTAAAATCGAAGAAAAAGGATGAGGACGAGGCAGAACGTACTGAGCAAAGGCTTATCCGTACGCCCGCCACCAGCAACAATCCCAACCATCCCTCTCGAACGGCTCTTAACAACCTTCTTCGCCCCACTGGGAAGCTTAACACGAGTCTTCCCTTCCTCAGGGTTATGCCCAATGACAGTAACATAGTTCCCCGAAGTGCGACCCAGGGCACCACGATCGCCAATCTTCTCCTCAACGTTGGTCACGACGGTACCTTCCGGCACAGAGCCCAGGGGCAGGATGTTTCCGACAGTCAGGGCAGCATTTTTACCCGCATAGATGAATTGGCCGGTGTACATGCCCTCGTTGGCGATGAAGGTTTCGATGACATCCTTGTACTTGTACGGGTGGCGGAAGGAGACTTTGGCGAGCGGTGCTCCTCTGCCTGGGTCGTGGACGATCTGTTTCACGACGCCGCGGATGTAGCCGTGTCGTTCGGCGTAGTCGAGGGTGCGGAATTGGGCCGGGGCTTTGTTGAGGCGGGTGTTGGCCGCTGTTATTTGGCGATGGGGAATTAGCAACGGCGTATAGAAGAATGACATTTTTTACATATATATCCATCCTCCGTCGCCTCCCGTCGCCTGCTCTATTCCTCCATCTCCCCCCTCCGTCTTATCCTTCCACATCTCTCGATAACTTCCAGTCTCCCATGCGTGATCCGCTGGAAGCAATGGATGATAGATTGGGGGTTTGCAAAGAAATGAATATATCCTATGGAGCGTACGTACTGAAAATCGATCCACGACCCTTCCTCTGATTGCGAATCACTCGACCCATGGCGTCTTACTGCGCAGGAAAAGTAAATGTCAGCGAAAACAAACGCAGCAGTGGTCGACAGATGGCAAAGATGGCAGCAGCTCGTACCTGTTCGCAGAAGTGGGCTGGGCGTTGGAGGGCGGAATATTCCCAAGGGTGATTGATATTCGACTCCTCCGTCTCGCACACTGAAATTGGCTGAGGTCGAATCTTGTGTGGGCTCTCGGGTGCGCATCGCTAAGCTAACCCAGTTGGCTCTAGCGCAGGCTTCCAGGTTTCCCAGAAACTTCCCACCGCCTAAACAACCGAAGAACAACAGACAAGACACCAAGCAACCTCCGAACTGAACATCGCTTCCATGCTGCGCCATATAGCATTACAACATCCACTATTGCTGCGGGGAGATATACGATGGTGGGTTGAGACTTACATGGGAGATGCAAACGAACGAGGAGAGATGTCTCGAGATACCTCGTGCTGTCTTGCCCTGGCGCGTGTAATGCGGCGGTAAAGAATATGGGCGCCGAGTTGCATCAACCACGATGGTCGGTGATTTATCTTCAGCATGCCTATCAACCAGGTATTCTGGTTGTGTTATCGTCAATCAGAGATCCCGCACTGGAATGAAGCTCTCTTAGATGCCGGGAATCAAATGGAGCTACGAGTATTCCATCCCCACAAACAGAGCCACTTCCATGTCATCAGGGAATTTTTATTTACACTTTTTATATTTTTTCCCATTTTTTCATATTGGCATCCTTTCATTTCTCTATTAACATACAGATCTGTCTCTATTGTTTCATCATGTATCAGCTGTTGGCGGATCTCTATGGATCCTCCCACTCACCTTTCATTTCCGTGCATCCGGACGGAATGCCTATCTAGGCGACAACAATGGCAACCAACTTCAAACCAAGAACTTGACCCTTCAGTGGGATGTCTTGCGTGCAATCAAGGTTCTTTTTGTTACACCTGTTTCAAAATCCTGATTGCTCGAATTAACGCCGTGGGGGGCAATACATGTTTAAATTGCCATACCACTGCAACTTGGCGTTGGTATACTTAAACTTAACAGACAATCTTCGAAAATGGTGTGGATCAGAGTATCTGACCGCGAAGTTGGGGAGGATACGGCTGTGTTGGCGTGAGTTCTGCTCCTGAAGACCCAAGGTGTGGTTTAGCGAGCGCTTAGCTGCAAAAACGCAACAAGCACCAAGCAACATATCATCACCCAAGCAATTCCATTGGAACCAGCAGATTAGCTTACGATTTCGGACAACATGGCCCCATTCTGGACGCGTGTGGTTGGTTTCTCGCGAGAAAGGACTGGCGTTGTCACCGAAGTTTGGTATTAGAAAGGAAGAATCATCACCCGAGCCTTTTGGCCGTGAGAAACTTTGGCCTGTTGAGATAGATTGTGCTGGTTTGTCGCCTGTGGGACACATCTCTACCCTTGAGGGTGGCTAGTTGCGACGATCCCTAGCTTGGGGCTTGCCCATAGCAATGAATTTCACAATATGAAAAATTAGACCTGTTGATTTCCCATCCATAGCTCGAGTTCTTCGTAATTTTGCCAGTGACACACGGGAATTGAACCCTTATCCGTAGCCAATGGGACCCTCCTTAGACGAGAGAACCGCGTCATAACCGCGCTGCACTCAGAAAAGGTTGACCTTTAGCAACTCAACTCAAAAACCCATGCTCTTCCCGTAGAAACTACTTTATCCCCCCTCGCCCACACAAACCCAACTACCACCCACTACCAACTCCTCCCTCCTCTACTACCTGTCTCTTACAGCGCACGAGACCATGTCGGACTCAGATTCGTCCTCGCTTTCGTCTGCTCCGTCCACTGATGACGAAACAGTCGCCGCCTCCATAAACCGCAGTATCGGTCTCGAAAAATATTTTAAGCCCCAAGAGAAGCCCGCCAAACCTGCCTCTCCTCCGCCCCCCAAACGTGCCCCCTCGCCGCCACACGAGTATGTCCTTGCAGACAATCCAGACATCGCGGTTAGTATTTTGGGTCCTACGCGATTATATTCCTCCCCTGTACCAGGCGAGTGTAACGCGTGCTGGTCTTCGTGAAATATAAGACGCGCTTCTGCTAACATTTCCCCCTTTTTTTTTTATGGCGCATCTACAGTTCATTGTGATGTTCCGGTCCAGATTTAGCGATGTCTTTCCGAAATCCCTTCCACATTATGGGCCGCAGGACATCGAAAATGGGGTTACGGATACTGTCCCAGGAGATCATATTGAGAGGTTATTGTGCTCTTTAATTGGGCTGTGTCTTAATAGGAAGAAGGATGTTGAGTATGTCAATGTCCCCCACGACCGTGTCCCCATCCTTAACCTTTTTTTTTTTTTTTTTTTTTTTTTTTTTCCTTTGGGCGCTACGACCAAGACAAGATATTACGTGTTTTACTGGTAATAGAGTTGTGAGAATTGACATGCTGATACGTGGTGTTGTGTATGATATAGCAAAGGCCATTATCAACGCGCGCTTGAGGAAGTTGTCCAGACTCATTCATCACAGTGGCCACGGGCATGGGGCGGTAAAAACCCCCTTCACGGCGGCGGGAGCTTTGCCTCCTTGACTCCAACTGAACGAGTAAGCCATCTGTTCCAAAACGATATGCGCCATGCGTTAATCCGTGTTCTAAAAACGTTACCTTGCAGCTTTCGTTTCTCAAAGCATTGATACTCTGGGCTCTTTCATCGTCCGACGCAGTCCAAGCCAAATTGAAAGAATCCTATAAACAATCGAGACACGATGATGATCTCAACCAGCCTCTATCCGTCCAGCCCTGGGGGAATGATGCCTATAAGCGGCGCTACTGGCTCATTGAAGGCAGAGATGATACCCATTTCAGACTGTACCGCGAAAGCAATCCTGCGTTGAAAAATAGGACGTGGTGGAGTGTCGCAGGCACTATTCCTGAATTGAAGAGTGTTGCGGATGCGCTGGCTGAGGAAAAATCGCAGCATTCTAAGAGGCTGAGTGAGAAGATTTATACCAGCATTCCGAGATTTGAGGGCTCAGAAGAGGTGAGACATCAACCTAACCGAACCTAAAGCATCCATGTAGAATATGAAGCTAAGCCTGTACGAATACTCATCCAGAAACGAAAACGCCGCGACTACCGCCTGGCACGGAAAGCAGCCTTTGCGCTCCCGGAACCAGGTTTCTCCCTCTACGAAGGCCGAACCCGCGGCAAGAAACTAAAATACACCTACTCCGACGAAGACGACGACTTCTCATTAGACCGCCTTCCAACCCGTAAATCAACTCGCTACTCCCGTCTCTCTACGCCCGGTGAACCGGCCGGCCCTACATTCACCGCGAGCGGACGACAGGTAAAAGCCCGCATTGGCGGATCGTATGGCGAGTCCATGTTGAGTTGTCAACGCAAGGAAGTGTCGTTGCCTGTTGGCAACGGCGGGCACGAGGACGGTAAAGGGGACGGGGAGAATGATGATGATGATGAAGAACAACCTTTGTCAGCGGATAATGGAAGAGCGCATCGGAATAGAGCTGGGAGGCTGATCAATGGGGCGGGTAGTCACATTGCTGGATATAATGCTGTTGATGAAATGGATGAGGAGTCTGAGGCGGTGTCAAGTGGGGATGAGCGGAATGGTGGGGATGAGGATAAAGATTATGGAGATGGAGATGAGGATATGAGTGATGGGGATGGCGAGTCGAGCACTGGTGATGGGGACGGCGGTGAAGATGACTTTGATGTCGTTGAAAGTGGAGATGGAGATGGAGCTGGCCGGAATCAAAGTCTGGTTGTACAGCTGAGATATGGGAAGGGAAAACAGCATATGGGGAATGGCAGCAGTGCACGACCGCAACAACAGGTTTCGACCGCGAATTCGAAGTCGCCTCCTGATTCTTCTATTGTTACGTCTGCCGCGGGCACCCCGAGTGAACAGCCATCTATACAGCCGACGGCAACGACAACGACAACGGGAGTTGCAGTCGAGCTGCCTGGGCTAAATCATCATCAGCAGCAGCCATTCGCTGTACATGTGCCTATACATAATGCGCCTGCACCACCTATCCAATCAGATAAACCAACCGCTGACCCCCAGTCCGCCACACACCCGTCAGCATCCGTGATATGTTCGAAGAGCAAAGATGTCCTTCCCCAGGTAACCGCGACAGACCTGCAGATGACCCAGATGGACATTGATGCCCTGGTCTCACAACAGCAACAAAAACTTCCACAGGCATCCGACCACGGCCAAAGCGGATTTATATGATTCCCTTTTAAGAATGCCTTTTCCTCGGATATAGCACACATAAATTTACGTCTGTGGTTTGCATCCCCCGTATTTCCGTTTCAGAGAGTCCACCGAGATAACTTGTCGGAGCATTTTCTGTCTTCCTTGAGCAGTGGCGTACAATTTCGCGGTCTCCCTTTGAAGAAGCAGAGAAGAGGGAAGATACGGGGATGATATTACCTTCGTCCATTCACTTTCGGTTTTTCTTTGATGGATGGGATTCTTCGCGTGTCGTTTCGCCTTTTACCCAGTTTGCGTTTGCAATTGGGAATAGATACTACTTGGTTTTTTTTTTTTTTTTTTTTTTTTTTTTTTTTTTTTTTTTTTCCATCATGGGACCGATTTTTTCCCTCCCTTCTTCTTTCAACCCTTGATGTCTTTCAGCATCTTTGTCTTGATTGACTGAACATACATCAGCTGGCAGATGTGGATTTTCTTTGCCCCATCTTCTTATATGTTTCTGGTGATATGTTAAGCGTATCGCTGTGTTTGCAGAGGTTGTCTGTAGGGATACCAGCGGGTTTTCTTTCATGCTTCTCTTTCTTTAACTCAATTCATTTTGTTCAAGCGGGTTTTCGATGGGGGTAGTTAATAGCTACCGGGGTATTTGCTTTCCTTTTTTAAAGCCTAGGTAGACTGAGGTTTCAAGGCCCCTGGATGCAATTAAAATAACACACACTCCACAAACGGCAAATATTTTCTTTGTCTTGATTTCTTATTCCGGTATGGATTTTTTTTAAATATACATATACTTGAGCGATGTTCCTGATTTAGGGATATAATCCCCCAAAGCCCGTCACTCTCGTAGAAAATGCCTATGTTCAGAAACCATTTCCAATCACCGTACTCCGTACGAGCGTCTGAATTTCCACACCAATGATTCAACACACCACGTGCTTTTCATCAAAATATGGCAATCCATCAAATCAAACAGTATAGCGCTGCCCCCGGCCGGCCTTCCTCCATTCTACAAACCGACCAAAGGAAGGGCCACCGTGGTGGGCTCAGTGGCGGCGTCAATTGTGCAGTGCAAAAACATCCCCTGTATGGTCACCGCGCGCTACCGTGGTAACCAAAAATAATCGTATTATACTTATATATATGGAATGAATACTTTTCTTTTGCCGCTTGATCCATTCATGACTGGGGTATCTTCCAGTTATTCACGTTCCACCACCATCGGCGTATCCTCGTCCCCAGCGACCTGCCAGTAAATTGGGCGCCGCGGTTCCAATGGCGCCAACCTGCGAGAGCAAGGGTCCATAGTGTCCCTTGGATGAGGGGGAGGAAGACCTGTGTGTTTTGTATTTATATTTGTTAGTTTCCGTCATCAGAATATCGAATAGACAGGTAAGAAAAGAAACTGTTTGCTCAAACAGTTTGATCCAGCGAGCCAAATGAACAAAGGATATAGAAGAGTATGGAAAAAAAAAAAAAAAAAAAAAAAGAAAGAAAAGAAAGAAAGAAAGAAAGAAAAAAGAAAAGAAAAAAAATTAAAAAAATAAAAAATAAAAATTACCTGATCCCGCACTGTAATCCACGCAACCCTCTGCCAGGTCTGCGCCCCCTTCAAGCTGGCCAGGTAGCTCTGCTCAAAGCGCAGGTCTGGGAGGGGTGGAAAGGGTGCGCGCTGCAGAGGCCGTATCGTCCGGCTGGGATCGACTATGTCTGATGGTATAGAGGTTGCATCTGAGGGGAGGCGGTGGTGGCGGGTTGTGGCTGCGACTGGTTCCTTTTCGTCGACTGCAGTTGATGATGGGTTGATGTCATGGGCGGGGGAAGGACGGGGGTTTATGGAGGCGGTTTGGAGGGTTTCGACGAGTTGGAGGGCGGTGTCTGTCATTTCGAGAGTGGCTTAGAGGGCGTTGTGGATTGTGGGTGATTGTATTTTTGATGTTGAGGGTGAGGTTAGTTTTCTGTGATGTTTTATATGTTGGTGTGAATAACAGTGACAAAACTGAATATTGAACTGGAAACTGATTTAAAAGTACAATTTTAGGAGTGTAGGAGAGTTTTAGGTCTTCATCACTCATCAATCACAACTCACTCAGCATCTCTTCTTCTCCCCTCTGTATTTTTTTTAAAAGTTTCAAGAACTAAAGCATAATGTGATCTCACATGCATCTATCTCATGAAATCTTCAATTCGAATTACTATTCGTCTGGCTTGCAAGCATGATATAAGAATATATGCCTTGAGATGCCGCTGAGCAAACGCTAAGAGAACACCGAGCTTCTGACCAATGATATACAGCCTGAGAAGAGCCTGTGCTGATCAGTGATATGCATACCGCCCTGAGAGGAGGGAAGATGCTGCTGGCCAGAAATATATTTGGCTTGCTTGCGGGGAAGATTCCTTAACCGGAGACAGAATTACAGCCTGGGAGTGGGGGAAGTTTGCTGGTCCAGCATGACACGAGAAATACGTAGCCTGAGGGTGTCAGCCGGTGGGTGATACACGGCTTGAGAGGGGGTTGCCGACGAGAAATATCCAGTTTGAGAGGGCTAGTTAACTACTGGCCAACATAAAAGGTTTACATGAGAATATCTAGTAGATGGGCGGCGCCGAAGAGGCATGGCATAAAAATATATATACATCCTGGGGGGTTTCAGTGCAGCACCGGCAGGCATTATATGAGAAAATGAATGAAGAATACAGGAGGATTCTACGGCTTGTTTTAAGAGCAGCGTCTTAACGATATGTAACGATATGATATGACTGTGTGATTGTCCACGTAGAGACGGAGGAGAACTGGATAGAAAAAACTTGCCGAGCTCAGCCCACCCCACCCCAGGAAAAACACACAAACCCCTCGCGAGACAAGAAAACATCTCCCTCCAAACCGGACTGTATACACAGCAACAAAACTGCTCGGATACCAATTGAAGTATTTCCAAAATACAATGGCTGCCACGGAAGGATATCCTCTTCTCTGCTTAGAGAATCCCCTGCTAGGTATTCATTAACTCGCCCCTCTGCGCATCCCGCTCAGCCCCTTCGCTAACATGCCCCCTCATTAGATATTCAGGGTGTCGGGTATGTTCAAAAATAGGAAATTCTCCAGGCTTCCTTAAAACCACGTAGCTTTAATAAGTCTGTACTAAGCTATAGTCCAGAGATGCTGCCATGCTCGAGAAATACGGGTTGAAACCCAACGATGCCATTCTTGCGGAGGAGAAGCACATGGGCCTCTACGAGGACCTGATACAGAACCACGATGCCAAATTGATTGCAGGTGGAGCTGCGCAGAATACTGCTCGTGGTGCTCAGGTATATACTGTTACTACTCTTTAAAGAGTATAGGCATTGGCGAATTGGAGAGTCTGAAGCCTAATCATGCTAATAATGTAGTACATTCTCCCGCCAAACTCTGTGCTCTACATCGGCTGTGTCGGTAAAGACAAATATGCTGAAATCCTCCAAGAAGCCTGCAACAAGGCCGGTCTGCACACTGAGTATCGTGTCGACGAAACTCAGCCCACTGGTCGCTGCGGTGTCATAATCACAGGCCACAACCGAAGTCTCTGCACCCATCTTGCAGCATCCAACGAGTACAAGTTGGACCACTTGAAGCAGCCACATATCTGGTCTCTGGTCGAGAAGGCCAAGATATATTATATTGGCGGTTACCACTTGACCGTGTGCGTGCCAGCCATCCTGGCATTAGCTGAAGAGGCCGCTGGGCAGAACAAGGTACGTCCTCTTGGAACCGTCATGTACTGCAACCAGCTGCCCTTCCCACCACCCCTCCTGTAGATCAGACACCATATGTCTAATTTCACCCCCTCGCCCATCTCGCCAATGCAAATAGATCTTCCTGCTCTCCCTCTCCGCCCCCTTCATCTGCCAATTCTTTAAGGACCAACTCGACAGCGTCATGCCATACACAGACTATGTCCTAGGCAACGAGGCAGAGGCCCTCGCCTACTCCGAAGCCCATAACTGGGGCCTGACCGACATCGAACAAATCGCCAAGAAAATGGCTACGTTGTCCAAGAAGAACACACAGCGACCTCGAACGATTATCATCACGCAGGGAACTGATCCTACCATCGCTGCAGTGGCTGATGCGACGGGGAATGTCGAGGTTAAACGGACATCCGTCCATGCTATTGCGAAGGAGGAGATCAATGACACTAACGGTGCAGGGTAAGAGTTTCACCACATGCAATAAACAAAAAATCGCTTAGTAGTATGGCTTATGCTGTATACTGATATTTGTTCTTTCTTTCGAGAAATATAGTGATGCCTTCGCTGGTGGCTTCTGCGCCGGTATCGTGGAGGGCAAATCGCTCGAACAAAGCGTTGACATGGGCCACTGGCTCGCCAGTCTCAGCATTAGGGAATTGGGTCCTTCGTGAGTTCAGCCCATTCATATCTATCTCCCCGCTGCTCCTTCGTTGTCTCCCAACCCGGAGACGTCCAGGGCAAAATACTGACCTCTACGTGCAATACAACCAGCTACCCATTCCCCAAAAAAACCTACAAGCCTTCTTCATAAGCAGTCTTTTTTGAACTTGAAAAACTATGAAAAAATTTCTTCCGGACTCACCTCAAAAACATCCATAGACTCAACTCCATTGCCATTCCTTCCCTCCTTCACATCATCGTGAAAAAAAATTCCACAGGCTCAACCCCAGATACCCATAAACAACGCAGACACCTCTTTCTCAAACAATAGTTATCAGGTATAGACCCTTCATCATGTTGTCTAGATATTTTCAATTTTCCTTCCTCTCCTGATCGATATCGATGGGATGAACAAGAAATTCAGCCAATTCAACCCGCTGACATTAGACATATTCTGCAATTTGCCCGTTCAACACTTTTTCCTGTTTAGACCAGATATAGTATTATGACGAATGATACATGTAGCATGGCGTATGAATGTAGCTCATGCTTGCATTTACTACGAATATCTAAACAGTAGAGAAAAGATCGCTAAGAATGCAAATTGAAAACAGCAAATGCAGGTAAAGTTGATAAAAGTACGGAGTGTAATAAAAGGAATGTGTCATTATCAGCAAACGAAGTACGTTTTTACTAAGTAAAATGCATTTTCTTAAATGATGGTGGAATATTCGGCCAGTTCAGCTCCCCCTGGGGGGGAAGAAATAATTAACTTTCTGTGCAGTTTATGATGGCACCAATCAACTACTTCTACATCCATCCATACATGCAGAATCGACAACAGTAGGTGTTTCAACGCAGGTAACGTGTAGAAGGTTCTGTGTATCAAATCTCAACAGACACAACAAACGGGCAAACAGAACAGAGCAGGGGGAAAGCAAAACATGCCATACATTCAAACAAATTGACCAATACAAACTGGTGCAAAAGTAAAACCTATCATGGATAGTTCGATCGATCCATCCATCCATCAATGCATCTTGCTCAAAAGCAAAGGACTGTTCGTTCATTTGCCGTGCGGACAAAGTCTTGTTGAAAACAAAATTTGATGGGCGGTCACGGGGACCGCGAAGTGAGAGTGACACCCTGTCTAGGAGGCGAAGGGGGAGGGGGGGGCGGGCAATGAAATATCGGGTCCTATTACCAGTCTCCACTGGGTGGAGGCTATATTTCCTGGGTTTGGCGCAAAGATGGAGAGAATGAAAGGTCCGTTCAAATTTGGGTCTCTGTTTTGGAATTGTAACTAGGCTGGCCTCTGGACTGCTGGTGCTGGTGCCATTCGTACTGTTGTTGGCTGTGACTGGCTGGTGGTTGAGGATATCACACAGGGTTGGGGTATTTGTCAATGTAGGAGGATTAGATCTTCATAGTTGATTTGGTGAGCCATTCTGGAATTGAAGAAAAAGAGCGTGGTTGGGCGCATTCCTAATACCATTATGTCCCGGCAAGGTCAAGATGGGTTTCAGGGGTAAATGAGTGCCTAAAGCAGCAACGAGAATTCGTAAGGGGAGTAAGAACCATCTTCTCCCGACCGTCGTGTATCATGATGTTCGATCCATAGCGCATCCAGACTACTCCGCAATTATTCCATGTCCCTTTCTGCAGAATAAGCAAGCAAACATATCTCCCAGGACATACCACCACGATCATATGACATCCATTGGCATGTTGGAGAAAGAGAATACAATCGGGACCCTTTCTTCCCTTTTCCCGCAGTAAAACATTTATCCCCATCAAGAAAAAAAAATCACCAGAAAGTGCCTCTCAAATAAAAAATCACCCCTGTCCACTCGATGGTGTCTGACCACTAACACCCGCGGTATTAGAATTCACACTCGATCCCGGAACATAGGGTGATGAACGTGGATAATACGGGCTGGACGGTTGACCGAATACCCGCTCATTGAACTGATGAGAGTTGATATTATTGTCCACAAAGCCACTGATTGGGAGACTCTGGGGTGCCTGCTGCATTGCCATTGGAAGTGGTCGACTGCTATACCCGCCATCGTTATTGTATTGGAAACTTGATGTCTGCGTCTGCGTTGGGGATATGCTGCGTGTTGCATATGCATAGTCATGAGGGGTGGATGGGAGTTGCAAGTTGTTTTGGTAGCCCATGACGTACTGCTGCTGCAGAGGAAAATCTTGTGGCTGGGGGTATGAGCCGCCGGTATTATTTGAAGCGGCATTAATTGCACCTATGGTATGCTGGTACTGGTCACGTTGCCTCATGGCGGTTGATGGGCGGGTTCCGGGAGATATGGCTTCTCCTGGCTGCGGTGCAAAGGGAGTGTTTAAGATACTTGGTAGAGCTGGTCGGGGGGAGTAGGATTTCGGAGCCTCAGCTTCAATGATTGGACTATATGGGTGGAAAGTTCCCGTTCCTGTGTCATTGCTATTGCCGGAGGGCTCGCCGCTGTCCCGTTGTGGAATTCCGTGATTGGCATTGGCATTGTTGAGGTTTGCGTTTTGCCATGCGCTAGATGATGAGAGAGTTCTTTCGGGCGGGCAACTTTCAGTTGATTCAGATTCGACGAGGTTGTCAACCATCTGGTTCATGGCGAAAGAGATGGATGCGGAAGCAGACTGAGATGTTGCGTATTCCATCACCCCATTGTTGGATTCAAGTGGCCGGATGTCTTCGCGATCTATTCTGGTTGAGGAAAGAGAGTGGTGATGGCCTCCGCTCGGGCTTGAAAATTGGGGGAGGCCTTCTTCTTTGTAGACGAACAGTTTTGTCTCATTGTTCTCTGCTAAAATAATGGGAATTTTCTATGGACGATGGTTAGCTAATAGCTTCACTTGAACATGTGCAATTCCAGAAAAGAAAACCAAAGGAATAACAGTACCTCCTGAACGACCAAATCAAGTCCATCAATAACAAACTCCCGGACCCGAAACAACATTTCAATGTGAACGGGTTGTTTCTCCTTAACGTCATCCGACCTGGGCTTCTTCTGCCCATGTTCATTAAAGTATCTCCGCCATGTTATATCATTAACCAACGGGCAGAAACCCAGAGTATCTTCGTCCTCGTGGAGCAGATAGCTGACTTCAGAGAGGCTAGGCACATCAAAGCTCGACGTGAGCAAACTCAAGGTGCTCGCATACATCTTCCAAAATTCCTTGATCTGTACATATAACGGAGTATCCTGATCCTCGCAGATCAAGGAGCCACTATTCGAAAGTAGCCAGGAACTGTAGTGTCTCAAGGCGGGCAGAACGCATTGAGCGACTGGGCTTATTTTCTCAGACTCATTTGCCGCAGCCGAACATTCGAGTTCAGCAAGCAATATTTGCAAAAGGGTGAAGAAGGTCTTCACATTGAGTCTCTGGAAGAACAACCCTGCATCGCGTGCGGGCTCCACGCCATCCTTTTCTTTCCCATTCGTCCGCCGAGCATTTGCGTAATTTTCAGCAGCAATGTTTATCAAACAAACCTTCTGAAGTAGATGCAGAGGCAGAGAAAGTTCCTTGAGGTCCACGGCTATTTGGCTGAGGATCTCATTTTCAAGATCATCGTGTTCTGGAAAATCTACCCCTTTATAACACTGGGCATGGAGGTATACGAAGGACGAGATAAGTGACGTCTTCTCATCCTTCGAGTTTGCAATAAGCTCGCCCTTGGCCCAGGCTGCTAAAACTTTTTTGAACTCGATTTCCAGGTTGCCATTCGATGTCGGATTAGGTTCTTGAGCAGATAATGCACGGTACAGATGATAAGTTGCCTGGAGATGGTTTCCATCTGCAAGCCCAATAACAGCAAGCTGGTTGTGAGACATTCCCGAGTCCGGGTTATTCATATCAGCCAACTTATAAAACCTAATAGCTCGATCCCAATTGCGATTCTTCGTTGGCGGAACCAGTTCCATCTCACGATAGCGGGAAAGATCACCAAGCCGAATAAGGGTGGCATGGCAGGTAAGCAGAACGGCCTTGCGAAGATCCTCCGAAATATCCGGTTTATCGTCCGTAGAAAGGGCTGTTTGAATTAAAAAAACAATAATCAGCGACTTGTCTCCCTTTTTTTCAATTTCAATTTCATTCCCATATCATATCTTACTTTCAAACTTAAGTTCCTTGGCCAATTTATCCAACTCGGGGATGCTGTCAAATCTAGAAACGAGATGCTGTATGTAGCCACGATAAAAGCGCTGGCTAGATTTGATGAAGTTCAAATAGTGATTTTGCAGCTTTCGTTTTTCGACGGGTCGCTTTTTCTGCGCATCGCTGTCTCGGAACTGGTGAACGGGGAATGAGCAAAGGTCAGAAAGGAATGGAGAAAAGACGGAAATTTAAAAAAAAAAAAAAAAAAGTAAAGGATCTTTTAAACGCACACGAGACAAGAGTTTACGAAAGCGAGTGTTAATCTTCACATGTATATCCCATAGCCGGCGTTCAACACTCAGAGATTCAGACTCCGTTCCGTTCTCGAAGCACTGGAAGATGGCATTTTGGCATGCGATGCGGAACCTGTAATAAAAAGCGGAACCCCATAATCAGCACCTCTCCGTGACATGTTCAAGGGAGTATTTTTGCAGTTAGATCCGCCACAGAAAATTAGCAGAGGAAGATGGCACTGTACATACTTAGCAAGATAATCATCGATCTCAGCAAACGTAGGTTCCTTTTCAGCCAGGGCATTCAAAAGGTCCTTTTCACCGTCAAGTTCGGAGCTAAGCATTCAGAAAGAAACGAATTAGTAAACGGAGCAAATAACCAATATGCCAATCACTCCTTCTCTGCATTTTCACTTTCTCTTTAGTTTCCCGTGAGATCAGAACCTCTTTCACTTTCCGCCAGTGGATTGTGTCCATCTCCGGTTGCGGGGTACGTGGGTACGTGGGGTACTGTTCGTTCCATTTCGAAACAATCACTTACATCACAACATCATTTGTACCATCCCGTTCTCCCGCTGCCATTGCCTCAAACCCACTCCGCTCCCTGTAGGTAGATATCAGGGGGGAAAGGGGAGAAAAGGGAGAAAGGGGAGAAAAGGGAGAAAGCAAGAGCGTAAGCAGGGACACCTCTAGCAAAGGAGTGACAGCTAAGTCACAAGAATAGCAAAGAATCTGTGGACAAATCCCCGTGCTGGCTTGAACCCCCACTACAAGGCGAGTCCACTCTCTGTCCTCTTCCTAATCCAGCGTATTGCGCTGCGCTTGCGCTTGGGTCAGATGATGGTGACCAGTCGCGAGTCGGAGATGGATTGCCAGAACGCCGGAGGACTCGAATCCATTGGGGAGCGGGCGCTTGACGGCTGGATCAAAGAGAGACGACAGCGGGCGCCGTGGTGGGACTGTTCCCTGCGCAAGGTTGGGGATGTGGAAGGAGGGGTAGATTGAAACGCGTTCGTCCGAATAGTATTTTGGCGAAATGCTGTGTTGAGGCAATATAAGAAAATGGCCAAGTTGAGCGTAATATAGTTACTGCTGCTTGTCACCGCTTTGTGATAGGGGCTGGGCTGGTTTAAACAACGCCAAAAATTTGTATGACATTTATCTGCTTTGTATGTTGGCTTTATTTACGCTGGATTTAATACATAGAGGAGGAATTTACATGTATGTATGAAATAACAATAGTAAATGGTCGTCACAGATCCAAAATTTATATACAATTTCAAGCCATAAAACAATCCTCGTTTACAGCTGTATCTATCGATATGTAATGGACACCCCTCCAAAAAAAAACATTAAAAGAAAAAATGGACAGGTTTCAGATCTACAGCTGACTCTTCAGTCCCTTAGCACTCAACAGCTGCTGCGACTTCTCCTTCTGCCTCCTGATCTTCTCCGTGCATTCATCCCTGCGCTGCTTATTCTCCCTCCTCCCCATCTGCTGCAAATGCACTTCATCAGGACCATCCGCCAGCCTCAGCGTCCGGATATTCGCCCACATGTTAGCAAGCGGGGTATCCTGACAGACACCCATAGCGCCATGAGCCTGCACCGCACGGTCAATGACCGTCAGCGCAGTCTGCGGCACAAGCACCTTGGCCTCCGCAATCTCCTTCAGCGCACCTTTGGCATCTCCAAGATCAATTTTGATCGCGGCATTCAGCACGACGAGACGCGCAGCGTCAATCTCAATGCGTGACCTGGCGATCCATTCAAGAATGACACCGTGCTCAGCCAGGGTCTTGCCGAAGGGCTTGCGTGACTGGTCGTTGGCACGGGCAATGAGGTAGTCAAGAGCACGCTCGGCGGCACCGATGGCGCGCATGGCGTGGTGGATGCGGCCAGGCCCAAGGCGGCCTTGGATGATTTCGAAACCGCGGCCTTCACCAAGGACAATGTTAGAGACAGGGACACGAACGTTCTTGAAGCTAATGTGACCGTGGCCGTGGGGGGCATCGTCATAGCCGTAGACACTCAACATGCGGTGGTTGGTCATGCCGGGTGTATCGGAGGGGACAAGGACGACGGATTGCTGCTTGTAAGGGTCGGGATTGCTGGCGTCGGTTTTGCCCATGACGATGTAGACTTTACATCTTGGGTCACCGGCTCCGGACGACCACCATTTCTAGATAGTGCGGGTGTATATGTTAGATCTCGGTAAAGATTGCATGTAGTTATATAAAGCATATCGCTGGGCTGAGAGTACCTGGCCATTAATGACATATTCGTTACCCTCTCGCCGGATATCAAGCTTGATATTTGTGGCATCACTGGAGGCTGTATCCGGCTCCGTCATGAGGAAAGCTGAGCGAATCTTGCCCTCCAAGAGTGGCTCGAGCCATTGTTTCTTCTGTGCCTCGCTACCATATTTCGCGAACACCTCCATATTTCCAGTATCCGGCGCGGCATTGTTGGTAGCCTATCTCATTTATCAGCAGGGGAAGTCAACCAACCAGCCAATAGAATAGATGGCGAGAAATAAGTTGCAACTGCAACGAGTAATCCCATACCTCACTGGCCACCCGACTCTTGCCCAAATACTCCGCCATCAGTCCATACTCCAAGTTACTGAACCCAGCGCCCTCCTTGAAATGGTTCTTGGGCAAGAACATATTCCACAGTCCAAGCTTCCTGGCCTTAGCCTTGAGCTCCTCAAGGATGGCTGGGGTAGTAGTCCATCTCTTATCTCCCTCGCCGAGCTCAGCCTGGAAAACAGCGTCTGCGGGAGTGCACTCTTCATCGACGAATTTTTGGACCTGAAGGAAGAAAAATGGCGTGGGTCAGCAAGAGCTTCTAGTACGGTAACTGGGGGGGTCCCATCGGCATTCGAGTCGGCATGCCGAAAATGTCACGGGATTTATATAGAAGCGGTACATACCAAATCCAGGGTTTGCTTTGCCCGCTCACTCACGAAGGGCAGCGCAATTGGGGGAATTCTTGAACTGGCCGACATGATTGGATGGAATATGCGGTGATTTGGATTATGATGCGGGGAAAGTTTAACGTTGCCGGGGTTTGATGGTAAGGGGAAAGGGAAGAGGAACGAAACTTCAGAGCTTCAATCTGGGGAAAGGCTGTGTATTTAAGCAAGACACAGGATTAGCCGGACGTAAAAATACGGACACGCACGATTCCATCCATTCGCTGTTCGTACCTAGGCAGGAATTGTATGCGTTGACGTTGAGGAGCTATTCGGCCCCGCACGTTGAACCTCGGCTGTGGAAGCTCTCTGGCGCCAATAACCCCAGGGCGAGTCGATGCTCGCCGTTTAGTGAACGACTTCTTTTCAATGTATCAGCCCTCGGTTTATTCTGCATATAGCAGAGCCGTGTGGATGCTTGTTGTTTATTCTGTGTTCGTATCCCCGCATCCGCCGGAAGCTTGATATATATAATAAACTCGCTGGAGGCGGTAACTATTTAGTTATAACTGCTACCAAAGCGCGGAGCCTTTACACGCCACGCCATATGAATATCAGACCACCAGATAGTTACAAGATGCACATATTTAGATGCGGAGACACAGGTCCTTTTGCAGTCTAGAAACATCACTGACAAACTGGAGATCAAAATCTCGAATCAAAACCCTCATAGCAAAATCACAGAACCACAAGATAAAAACCATCTAAACACCCCCCAACGACACAAGGAATGGCAAGTTAGATGCCCCCCAATCTAGCCACACTCACAGGCATAAACCTTTCGCCCTTCGATCACTCGTGAGGGAATCAGGCGGGATGTCTGACAAGCAACCTGATGCATTTCAACCCAACTTGTTTTCGCCGCATCCCCCGTATCCGACGCTGCGGCAGTGAGCGATCTTCTATCTACCATTCCAACCCGATTTATTGATTCGTATTGATGCCTACGAAATTGGCTTATTTAGAGACCACTCTAAGCACAGTCCGCCCCCCTCCCCAATGTCAGTCGATTTAGTTGCATCCTCATAAGGGAAAATGGTCACACACCCGGACTTGTGGTGCGCAAGTATTTCGAATAGATCGTGATTCGTGATGACGGCGGTTCAAGCCTCCTTGAAAATTGCAATCCCTTCCATTTCTGTTATATCATCACCCTTCTTTATTCTATCACTGCCGCGGGCCAACTGCACACTCGCTTCCCCTCCCTCCCTTTGTGTTTAAGCGCGCGTGTCATGCAAGCCTGGAGCCTCCCGGTGTGGTGTAACTACTTATATAGTCTTGGCTTGTAATTTGCGTGCTGAAACTATTGTTTTCTGGTTTCTAATCGCATGTCTACTCTTCTACGTCAACGTCAACACCTAGTACAATGCGAAGGTGATGGAAGGAAGCAGACAGGGGAGGCGAAGGAGGTCGTGAATGTAGATGAATATCTGTTTAACGTCACTGTGTGGTTTACAGTCTCTCCTTGTCAATGTTGTCCCCCAAATTGGGATCCCAATCCTGCGATTACAGTAGCTGTGTCATCTGCTCTTGTGACACCACTACGATGTTGTCTGGCATCGGTGGTCCAATGGTTAAGATCCGACATTCCCATAATCCACCGCTGTGGAAACGGACGATAAGTGTCAAACAAGCTAGACATGTCGAGACCCGGGTTCGATTCCCGGCCGATGCAGCTGCTCTTTTTGCCGCTCCGAATCTCAACATGTATAATTCCATGCATTCACCATGAATGAGTGAGTGTAAAGAAGCGGAGCATTCAATGCCTTCAGATGCTGCTTGAGAGAAATGAAAAGCTTATCTTGAAAAGATCTCTCTCTAATTTGACATGTTACGATGGTCGTGCGATGAACACTAGATTTTTGCTGTAAGATATGCTGTAACATGAAGAAGTTAGTTCATATGAATCATAGTCGCTGTAAATTCTTTTGAGATAAGAAAGGTTGAGTAGTAGTCGAGACATAGGTTGGACGTATACCTATATTCTACGGACAAAACGGATTTTTTTTTTTTCTTCTTTGTTCTTCCTGTTATATACGGCACAGGTAGGGCTGTAGAAATCGCATGTGTTGAGTTCCTAGATGAAGATGAACACGGAGACATCTCTCAATATAGCTTGATGAGACGAGCAGATTTTCAAGAGAAATGTCACCAATATGCGATTGATGCTATCGGGGATGACAGAACTTGAAGCATGAGCCATGCCCGACTTTGGTCATTGAAGGTACGAAACAGGCAGTGTAATGAAAAACTCCCCAAATCAAACTGGTTGATAAAAGAGCAATGAGCAAAGATGGCCGATATGCTCATTTCATACGGGCACGGCGGGGCGGTGTGGTTCCCGTAGTTGCAAAATAACCCGGTTAAAAGAACAAAATCCAAATCCATTATCATCATATCAGTGTATAATTACTTTGTCTGTTTTTCGAGAGAACGCCCAGATTTCCGTCGCAAAACCAGGGCGCTATAAAGGGCATAAGCGCGTAAACACAAGAAGTAAAAGAAGGGAAAAAAAAAAAAAAAAAGAAAAAGAAGGGTAATCAATAATGTACAAGTGTAGAGAAGAAAGGGGCAGTAGAGACAGAGAACGATTATTAGGATTAAGGAGAATTTCAACCAGGGAGAATGAAAAAGCAAACGGAGTTCAACAAAACGTCTCAGCAGGTAAGGGGAGCCATAGTTTTTTAATCCAAGTGGCTCAGGCATTCCTTTCTGAAGATGGTGATCCACCCTTAAATTCGCCGTTCATTCTCTCAATGGACTTCCTGCCAATGGCCTTTGCGAAGAGGGTTTGGGGCTTGCCAGCACTGTTCATGTAGAGATAATGGTGTTAGTTGACAAAGCCAGGAGCATGACATTTGGCATGAATCTTGGAATGGATGAGCTTAAAAAAAAAAAAAAAAAACCCTATAGTACTTCTTGAACCGTTTTCCCTTAAGTTCGCTCAATTTCTTGGTGCATGGACTCATGATTCCATCTGACGGAGAGACGTATGTCCCTTTCTCACTATCATTTGCGCAAAAATGAAATATCAGCTGTATGTCCAATGTTGTAAAGGCGAAATGACAGTAACATGTATCATAACAACAGGGACAAGACATAAAAACCACACCTCTTCCCGCTCTCTATCTTCTCCTTCAGCACTTGTCTGTGATATTCCATCGAGTTCATGTTTGCAGCCTTGGGGTCCGAGTCAGAGTCTCCGCATGACGCCTGTGGCACGTCTCTTGCCATATTTGTATTCGAGAGGTGTGTGTTCGTCGAACGATCGGAGAGAGGAGCAGCCTTCAAGGGGCTTGTAAAGTTGGATTCCATTGTGTGGGAGTTGTGGTTGTCAGATCGAATACAGGCTGTTGATGGTAGAGGGAGTTATCCACTACAGGGTTATGGAGACGGGGGATTGCGGAGGTGTAACAGGTTCGTAGTAGATTTGCTTGGTGATATAGATTCCGGAGAAGGAACCGAACAGTCGTGAGGAAGGGAAGTTCTCTGGAATGAAGCAGAATGGGTAAAACTGGGGATTTGTTTGAGAGCAGAGAAGTTGTGAGATTTGGTTTTTTTTGGTTTGGAAAAAACAAAGAATTGACAGCAAGTGGCGGCGTTTTATATTACTTGCGCCCACGTAAATTGTTTTATTTTGTGTTGACAAGCAACAACAACAACAACAACAGACTCTGCCTTCACACGAGGTAATTTTAAATGCAACTTTTTAAAGCAAATAACAAAGATGGATTCCCAGTCAATAACGGAAATTGTCCAGCTTGGGACCGATGATATATGATGATATCTTCTTCCGCACGGCCTGTTTTCGGGGGCGATAGCGGTCCCGATAGTTGCCATGGCAACTGCCGCATGCCTGAGCCGTGCTAAACACAGAGCCCAACCCTCGCAAACCATCTCCCAAAGAGGGACGGACCATCATGCTGATTTTGACTGATGGTTCAATCTCAAGCAAGCCTTTCTGCTTGCAAGTCTCCATCTATGACTCAAAGATTGAAATGAAGGCCCCCCCCCCCCCCCCCCGGGTGTTTTTTGGTCATCCAAATGATACTATCCTTGCCAGCCTATTAATGTGCCCCGGGGGACAGGGATGGGCCGGTATCAAGAATCTAGTAAGATGGATGATATCAATGAATGTGCGGCATGTTTCCACAACAACCAAACAACCAAAGTCAGCATGTTTACGTCAAGCTATCAAAAAGAATTTCGTATGAGTCAGAATGCTCCAAAAAAAAAAACCATGAAAACAATTCGTTTCGAGGTTTGGTCCTCTGTTACTACAGTTCATCAGACGCCCTGGGTCTTCTTCCCTTGCAAATCCGCGCAAGGGGCAACCAGCGCATCGTTTCAACTGCAAGTTGTTAAAACAACTACAGGCCACAAATGGGATGGAAGTGGATTTCCTCCTCTCCCTTTCTCTTTAATGATATAGAACATTTGCCAGCGAACCAGGTCAGTCGGAACTCTTGTATGAGTTGAACAACAGGGACAAACCTTCCCTTCATTGAGCTGTCAGCAACATATTGCTTAGGTTTTCGGCAGAATAATCTCGAATGGACCCTTCAATCAAAATTCAGATCTCAATTTCATGAAAACTGCACTGCACTGTAAATAAAAACACAGCCAGGGGATCCCCTGGCTGTGTTAGCTGGCTCCTCAGAACAACCCTTTAATCAAACATTTCAGAAACATATGTCCGTCTTCCAAAACCTAGTAAAACAATCAACTGAGGACCTCTGCTCAAAGAATCCCATAACCCACCCTCTAACCCTCTAAACTGAGAATGCTGTAATTGATGTCATATAGATAGAAAGAATAGAATATATTCCTTGATTCTGAATTGATGAGTAGTAGTGAATTTTACTGAGTGATGAGATTAGAAATGAAGCGAATTATTTGTTTCTATCTTAGAGATGTCAGAATTTGCCTGTAGAGCGAATATATCATTTGAACAGCTGGACAGAGGATGATGAAAACATGAAAATAAAGCATGATGACACGTACAATCTTTTTTGGAGAGAGTAGCAACATTTGTGAAAATAATATATTTATCAAGAGATTGAATCTGCTGCTCAGCTTGGCCATTAATTAGACAATGTAGTGTAACTACTCTATAGTAAGTAATACATTGAACTGAATTTGTGAATATTTCTCCTCATTAACATACATAGAAACATAATCCACTCTCCAAGTCAGCTTGCTGAAAAATACCAATGCAAGCAAATTCCAACAGTTTGACACCAACTTCTCATTTCTGTTATGAATACGAGGTTTTCACGAAAACGCTTCAAGCCAAATGTTCTCGGCCCAGCATGTTTCGGCAACCAAACAGACATCATCACCACCATCATTATCACAAATGGGGGGAAGCTCCAGGAATGTCCCTACACGTAAATCAGCCATTAATCCAACATACGTAGCTTTTCTGGACCGGGCATGCTAAAAGCGGGCGTGCAGTTCGAGCGAGAAGAAACAAGTCTAATCAGCCAATTTACCTGGACAAAAGCATCTGTCATGTCCGCGTTTCAACGGTGTTTATAAACAACAACGGGTGAAATCGCGACTATTTAAGCAGTTGACAAAACCAGTTCTTCAAAGTTTTATCGACGCTTGTAATTAACATGCGTCCAATACCCATATTGGGCCCCCAATTTCCGTGTCCAGATGTATATCTCATGTTCGTTGTGCGTTGACAAAGTTATGTGGTCCAACAACGGGGGAGGGACATTTCGTAGAGGTTGATTTGCCAATGTCATTCGCTAGCTATGTGGCAGTGGGCTGGCCGGTGGACATTTGCCGAGCTTGTTTCGTAAAAATTTTCCAACATTTGTCGATCCATCCAGCAAGCGGAATGCTTGTTGCAGCAGCTGTTGCTGTAGTAGTTGTACTACAGCTTGCCTTGGGCATGAGTCCTGCTTGGGTGCAAGAACACCGTCAATAGATCCTGTCAAGTGGGCGAGCGGTTGCAAGCTCAACGTTCTATTGCAGAATGTTGATGAGACTTTAGCCAATATAAGGCGATATAATGGGCTAAAGCGAACAAGGAGCATCCACCCAATTGCAGTCGAGTTAAAGAACCAGATGGTTCGAGTAGAATAAAAGAAAAATAATAATTCATTAAAACCCCATGTCCTCTCAGGTACGTCAAGAACACACCTGCTGAGTCCCAGAAAACGAACCCACATCAGACCCTTCATCATGACCACCCAAATCTGGCGGACTGCTCTCAGACCTGAGAAACGGGGCGGGTGGAGATACAGTGAAGTTGCTTGATGATGTTGAATTTGACCTTTCCGAACGCTGGCGGTGAGCAGAGCCAAGCCCCTCACTATCAGATGTGGGTGTAGGTGGAGAATACGCGATGTTGGGGTTAGCCGTCAACTCATCTATCTCTTCCCTGGACTCCGTGGAGTCAGTTCGCCTGTGACCACGAGCACCCTTGACCCCGTAGGGTGGGATAACGCGTGAGTCCGGGCTTCCTGAGGGCGCCTCGAACGAGGCAGATGAGAAACGGAAGCTTGGAGAACGAGAGACAATGCTGTGAACGCGGGGAAGTTCAAGGTAGCTGGCGACGGTTCCTAGTGCGTTGCTGCGGGAGAAGAGGACGAGGCCGAAGCAGATGACGACGAAGACGCTTTGGATGATTGAGATTCGTTTCTGGAAGACAAGCTCGTCGGCAAGGATGCCAAGCTGGGTACTTAATGCGAAAACTTCTTGGTGGTACTGTCGCCGTTGCTGTTCGAATTCGGTAGCGACGGAGTGCCAGACTTGGTCGTATTGGTGGCGGAATTCTTGGAGTTCGTGCAGGACTGTTGTATTTAGATTTTCGAGGAAGGTGGAGGTTTTTGCTAGTTGGCGCTTTTCTACTTTGTTGAATGCGTCTCGGAGGATTCGTGACTGCTCTTCAATGTATTGCAAGGAGAGTGAGGAATTGGTTTCCAACATGTGTAGACGCTTGTTAACGGATTTAAAGAAAGATTCCTGAGTTGTGGGGTTGGGTGGAGGTGGTTGAACGGTAGTGGAGGTTTTGAGTGACTCTGTCGAAGAATCGTGTTCAGCTTTGTTGGGTGCACTGGAAGATGCCTCATTTTGAGACTCTTGCGTTTGATTTTGGGCGCGGGTGTCGGTTTCAGTAGGTGTGGCAGTAACTGTCGAGTTAACGTTATTTGAAGATGCTTCAGCAGTACGATTCGCCCGTAAACCATTGCCTGTCATCTTGATGGGACCAGCAGGCTTGACGCAATCTAGCTGAACCGAATTGACTGATCTGTTTATTGCGCGAGGTCCCTCCTTGAAGGCACACATCTTAGCTTGTAACGAGAATCTCTCAATGCTGGTCTTTCTCAATGAACAAATATCCTGTAGTTTTTGAACACGAGTTGGTCTCACATCAAGCTCGTCCACCATTTCCGATTTCGTACCCTCTGCATCGACAATGTTGCTCTGATTACCAACGATTGAATTATCCCGTGCTGGCTCTGACGCAGCATCTGTCTGTATCTGGGCTGTATTTTCCTCCAACCGACCGGCTTCTCCTTCATTTTTGTATTCCTCCAACATAGTCGTGCCATGAACCCGAATCAAACTAACAGGGCAGTAAAACTCGTTGCCGTAATGACTCAAAAATTCAATTTTCACGTATCTTGCCCATATGAGAGGGTTCTCAACTGCGAAGGCTTGGACCTCTCGTGTATTGACAGCCTCATACGTACCCAGATCCTTCCACATATCAGGTTGTTTTGGAGGATAACGATCCGAGACACTAACTTTGAAGGTACGGAAAATTGAGCTGAAAAACTCGTAGTTGGCCAGAACGATAGTATCGATCAAAATGTCATCACAAAGCTCGATTATAAGAAATTTATCTTTAGCCCGACACTCGTTAAGCATGTAACTGTCCTTATTTTCGATTAGGACGGACGAGGCCCCGGTACACTGCGGATTAGTCTTGAGAACGGTAGCAGCACAATCAAAAGATGCGTAATTAAATCTCTCCTTGCACGTAGTCCCCGCATCCTTCCTTGGAGACACAGTTCCACGAGGAGCAGCATTAGTTTGCGTTGCGCCTTTTGCTTCTCCCGTAACAGGACCGGCGCTATCTTTAAGCGGTGATGGGTGTTCATTCCCAACCTTCCGTTCCCAGGATGCAGGTCCTGAATTTTCAGGCGCAAATCCCCCAAAGTCTAATTCAATCTCTCCATCCTCACCCAAGGAGTCCAAAGAGTTGTCAATGCCTGTGGGGCGCTGACGTCCATTCTCAGATCCTGCAGCATGGCGATGTCCGTCCACAAGCTCCGCGGATTGGCCAACTTTGGCCAAATTCTGCTTCTTCCATTCTTCAAAGGAAAGGAAATTCACATTATCGAGAGGCGATTCCGTATCTAGCTCATGGTCTAATTCAGCAGATACTGATGCAGTCGCTGTTACCGTCGCGGGAGGAGAGGGCAGGGTTCCAGACGTAATCAATTTATGAGTATCTGCTGCACCAGATGGTTGCGGCGCATAGTAATCCTCAGCCTTGCCAATGCTGACCCATCGCGGTTCAACGCAGACTGGGTACTGAATGTACTCCAGTTTAATGTCCGTGAAATTCCGAGTAGGGCATGTTGCGTCCAATGCTCGCGAACTAACATTACGATGCCTAAAATCGACATTACCCCCAGCACGCACAGCGGCAAGTGCAGCGAGAACCAAGAAATATAACAAGCAGCCTGTTGCTCGATAATTTGTATTGGAGGGCCGAGGGAAGAGAGAATAGCAACAGGCCATTCTGTATACCCGTACTGTTCGTAGTCTCGTGAGGAGGAAGAAAGCAGATAATCTGTCCACGGATAAAATAGATATCAACCGTATACCAACTAAGCTTAAAGATACCTAATAAAATGAGAAATCGCATCAGCATCAGTTCAATCCAACAAAGAGATACAAAGAAGTTCCAATGCAGGTACATCATCTTAAAACAGTACTCTCTTGCCATAGCTTGTCATAGCTTGTCATAGCTTATCGAGAATGACCATTTGAAAAAGAGAAAATTGGATATCCATTTAATTACTCACGCTTTTTCAACGTCCAAATCCCAGCACCTGATCTGCGGCTAAGCAACTGCAGCACCATAAAATTCAACAGAGATCTCTCGACGACCAGTTCGACAGCCCATTATTCGCTGTTATTTCTCGTGGGGGCTTTCCACCACGATCAAACCGACATTCCAAAGCGTCTACCAAGTCTTCTTTGGTCCTTTTTCGCTCTTCATCGTGTGTTTGACGGGGGGAAACGCGCGAAGATCGGTAATTATAGAAGAACGGATCGCATTCCTCAAAAAGGATTGTAGTGTTAAGTGGGTAACTAACTATATGGGATGCGTGTGGGATGAAGAGACAAGACTAGAACAAAAGTTTGGTTGTTATCTTGAGCAGTTCGACAAAGGTGAAATCTGGCCTCTTTCAAAGTTTGGAGATGGCAAAAGAGATTGATTAATGAACGGCGACACGGATGTAGCTTGAATGGTGGTTCGCGCAATGAACTACGATTTTTGGTTTCTCTTTACTTTCTTTTCTTTTCTTTCGAAGGGGATGGATCGATTCGTCGAAGCTGCACTGCCCCGGTCAAGGGTTGATTGGGTGGTAGGTTTGCAAATTAAGTCCCGCGGATTCAGTAGCCAATAATGATGCTGAGTCCATGCAGAGATCAACGGATGAGGAACAGTAGTTACAAAAAGTAAACTGTCAGCGATTTATTAGACATAAGGGTTGAATTGTCCTGGAGCTGGGGATGAGGATTTCTTGTCATCAGCACCTGCTGCCACTGCCACTGTTGATTCAGTCCGTAGGCCGGAGGAGGTTGATGATGTCGTTGGACTAATTGGCTCCTGGGCAGAAAGAAGATGGGGGATGTGTGGAACTGCGGAAGAGCCGCCAACATAACATACAACAACAACTCCAAACCAACGATGGTATTTGGAGAATCACACAATGACTGCAAAGAGTATGGCTGGCCTATCCAAATAATTGCGTTTGCTGATGACTATACCAAAGACATTGATATTCAATTTATGACAATTTAAAGACATAGTTGCTTCAATTTGCATCCTGTTTGCTCAGTACAGAGAATGCGCCCATATCACAATATGAATTCAATACAGGGTTTCACCATCGATCGAGTCCATGGCGACGTAGCCTCTTGTCCCAAAATATCGGGAGTCATTCCTCCACTTGGAATAAGCGACGGGCGCAAGGAACTGGGATTGTGGTTTTTTTTTTTTTTTTGCACCGAGCCGCAATGTTTTACACGGCAAAACGCTCCCCCCGCACTTCAAACCAGTTATCTAGAGAGCGGCACCACGGCTGTTGCTCCAATCTTGTGAAGAAGAGGGGGTAGTCATCAACCAGCTGTACCCGCGCTGTATTAGACACCGCTGTCAAGGTCAACACCATCCAGCGAAAAGGTGTTCGCATTGTCTTCGCTCCTGATCTACCAGCTGGAAGAGTTTGACCCAGAGGATGTTAAGGATATTAAACGTAGACTGACATCAATCACCGGAACGAAATATGTTTCCGTGTTCTCCGGGCCTCGGGGAGTGAGTTCTCATCTAGTGAAAACCATTTTCGTTTAGCTTTTCTGGCTAGGCAAATATTTAACGTCATTGAATTCAAGATGTGATGTTTGCAAGAAGATAGTTACTTTGTGAAATTGGGATTGGCGTATTTCTTTACACTCAAATCCGCCATGGCTTGCTGATTTCAGCGTCTTTGCCGCAGCTGCCTGCGATGCGACTTCGACTTAACCATCTGATCCCCACAATCCATCCGTCTTCTCCTTCATCGCCTTCTTCTACCAATTCGGTGGGCACCTTTATGGTGGAGGGACCTACCATGTCCGCGATGTCCAGCGGCCACCCTTCGATCTGTATCTCAAACGGCCCGGGCTCCTCCATGTCCAATATGAACGCACTGCGGGTTTTGGATCTCACAGAGTTGCGAGCGAAATACGAAGGTTGGTCGTTGACTACTTACATGGAAGGTGACTTTGCCGGGAACTGCCTTCAGACAATGAGCATCAGTCATTTGTACCAGTTCAGTAAGATAATTTTAAGAATTGCATTGGGCAGATTCAGTTTATTTCAAATCTCTATTTTCATCTTATCTGCAGCTTATTCTTTAGAGACTGTTATGATTGTCAGATTGACACTAAGAATGATAACGCAGAACTATATGACAACAAAGGTAATTTGATTTCAGACACTGTTGACAGAGCTGCGGTTGTAAATATAAACTTGTCCTTTGCACATATAGATCTCAATTTAAAAAATATATTAATGCACAATAGAAGATTATAAATTGAGAATTTATAAATTGATGTTCCGAGAACTTATATTTCATTAAGACTTTGTTTCAAGACAAACAAAAATTACATATCCTGAATACTCTGATTGACTCAAAGCCGAACTACTAACTATGAGATCATACTTGACTCTTTTTAACCTGCATTATCGTGCAGAGCATTTCTTTGTCTAAAAAGCCTATGGCACATTCAAAGGGAGCCACCGACACTCGTTCCGTAATATATAGTTGATCCACAAGCGGGGATTTACATGCCTAACAAAAGGGATGGAGGCTGAGGAGTTTTGACCTCCCATCGGCCTCCTCGCCCTTCCCCGCATTCCACCTCGTTTAATTTCCAAAATAAGGGTCCAGGGGGCCAAGATCAATAAATTAGCGGATTCGAATCAAGATCACACGGACTTTCAAGAAGTTAATTGGAAATAACACAGAGTGGATTGATGGATCCCAACTGAACAAAGTCTGAGGCTTTTGAGTCCGTTCCCCCCCCCACAATGCATATAGCAAAAGCAAGTCACGCGCTCAAACGAACTTCCTTCTTTGCACCTAATCTCCCCCGGTCCGTCGTCAACCTATGTAGTTATTTACCGCCAAAGCCGCCCCAGCCCGGCTGTATTATTGCAAAATTACACAATGAAGATGGATAATGGTTCTTGAGCCAAGCTCAGCCAGTTCCTGACGGCCAAAGATAACCAGTGAACCGTCTCTTGTATCACTTGTCGCTGGCCAGCAGTTTTCTAGTGATCAACTAGTAACGATATTTTACATCTACGGTCTTTCCACGTCAAGCCTTTTTATATCCACGACCACGGGTGTTTCGCGGAGACTTCAGTGCAGATGTATCCTTTTACTCCCTCTCCCCCCGCGAAGTAGATAATGGCGACGAATTCGACGGGGTGCGGTATGGATAGCTCTCATAAAATACCACCACACAGAAGCGGGAGGACTGTCTTGCAAAACATAAGACCAAAGGATTTTCCAGAGGCAAGAAAGATGAACGAGACTCGGTTTTTGTCATGGAAATTAATTTATATTTATTTGATTAATCTGTAGTTATTTCTCACATATTCTCCAAGCTAAGTAAGTAATTTGGGTCTTTTCCTTTTTCTTCCTTTCCCTCCTGTCACCACCAGTTTCCCTTCTTTTGTGGTTTCGTAGCTCTCCCGCCGTTGCTGTCGAAAAGCTTCAATTTCGTTTTTCATTCTCTCTTTTCTTCTTTTCATCCTCTTCTGGCGGCTTTAGGAATAAAATGAAAAGATATCCCACAACCAAATCGAAAGGTTATAGCTTAGAGTACAAAGAAGTATAATCCTTCTCCCCCCAGTTTTGCTGTGTGTGTATGAGTGGTTTAGCAACACAGAGGGCAAGAAGGATTTTAAATTTTGACCTTTTTTCCTTTTTTTTTTTTTTTTTGGGTGGGGGGGGGAGAAGAAACACAAGACGGAAAAGGGGGCGGATAACATAGAGATAGAGAAAGAAAAAAAAAAAAAGTAGGTAAAAAAGGCAAACATATTACTCCCTGATAGACCATGTCCCTTTCACTAGTCAATTAACCCCTTCCACTTTTCAGAATATCGTAAAGTGGCTGACAATAAGGATCGCATGTTTAAATTCTAACTGCCACGAGCTTTTTATTTCCAGGTAAAATATCCTTTCCACACTGCCTTCTTTCTGCTGTTAGCTGATAAAGCTGTGCTGTCTGCTGCTGTGAATTGCCAATGAATAAATGATCCCATGATATGAAAGTAAAAGTGAACGAAAGGGCTGGATATGAAAAGTTACACATAAGCGATATTGATACACCCTCAAAACAGGTCAACTGTAGAGAAACAACAGGACGGACTCAAAACGCCTCTCCAGGGGTAACCAAATGACCATATACCTCCCTAACCGCAACACCATTTCTGGATCCTGCCATGCCAATTCAATGTATACCGATAAGGATGTTAAAGTGTTTTTATAGTACAAACAGAAGATGATCTTGTTAGGACATCCTTGTCTTAAGGGGAGGGAGAAGGTGATGTGAGATATCATACATAAGCAAGCGGAAGCAGGCATAATATAAAGAGCAGAGAGGAAATGGTGGGGGTGGTGGTGGTGGTGGTGGTAGTCGTAGTAAATGTATAATAGTTGGGTGAGGTCAAATAGGGGATTATTAGACAAATGGCAGCAGCAGCAGACAGACAGCAACAACAGGCAGTCCGAAAAACAGTAGTATAAAAGGAATTAATGGAAGAAAAAAGATATAAGGGGTAGAATGATGAGTTGTATGAATCACAGCTGAAAGTCGTTCCAGCCACCAACAAAATCGAGGTCATCAGTGCCATCGCCAGTTCCAACCAAACCCACATTTGCCTGTGGTTGCGTAGGCTCGATTGTGCTTTGCCGCCAGTCAATGTCAAGAAAATGCTGGTCAACATGGCGGTCGTCGAAAACTGTTGAACTCGGGACTAAATCCTTACGCCAGCTCTTTGACATGCATTTTTGCTTTCTGCTGGGCAACGAATTATCCTGTTTACGGTGGTAGCCGCGTCGTCTGTTTCCGAGGGCGGCCCACTTGTCCATAATGGTTTGTTTGGTTGGGGATTGCTTGGATGGGTGCACTGGACCTAGGATATTGTTCTCTCTGAGATTCTCGTTGGCCTTGCGAGGGGTTGGGATAGCAACACCATTCTGATGAGCTTTGGGAGGAGACGATCGAGCATTTATGAACGAGGAACCTTGCACCTCCGAAAGACCGGAAGGGCGATTTCCTTTCTTGGTCGTTTCGCTATCTCGGCTGAAGCTTCGAGCATTTTGTTTCATCCGCCGCTCTAGAGCTTCAATCTCTGACTGCTCCTCATCGTATAGATCACTCCAGCTCTTCGACATTTCATTGTTACCCTTCTCGAAAACTAAAGACATGGCAGGAATTGGTTTTCCAGCACGAACGGGCAGAGAGCAAGCAATCGAGACAGGATATGAGCGGCCATGGAAACGTTGTTCAAAGGGTTGAACAGCCATAGATTTGAACGAGGCACTAAAGGTGGAACCCAGTGCAGAAACCACTGAGGGGGAGCCTGCATGGGCGGAATACCATGATGCGGCTTCTGTTTCAGAAGCGGGGAACAAGTCTTCACAATAACTTTCTGTGTCTGGGATGATAGAGAGTTGTCGTTTTTGCTGAGGTGTTGACTGAAGCGCTTTGGCCCAGGGGAATGTGTCTCCTTGATTGATCTGAGGGCTCGAAATGGACGGCGTTCGAAGTGGCTCTCTATCAGCATTCGCAGTAATAATCTCGCGATCTTCGGTGCAAAAATCATCAAGGACTTCATCGTCAGTGGTGAAGCAAACAGCGCGTAAGATAGCTTGGCGAACCCCGGAGAGGGAGCGTTTATTCGGATCGAGTGCTATGGCATTAGAAAGTATCTCAAAGGTGTCTTGAGACATGTTATGGAAAATGTCAAAGAGTGACTGGCGGTCCCTGGTATAGTCGGCGAAGAAGATATCAGACTCCGTTGGAGTTACGAAAGGGTTTTTCGCAAACAATATATTCAGAAGGCATATGCCAACAGACCAGATATCGGCTTGCCTCGTCGAGTAGCCACTTGGGGTGGGTTCATATTGCTCGGGTGCCATGTAGCGGTCACTACCAACACACGCCTCGTAGGACCAGGGGCTGCGTGTAGCCAAACCGAAATCTCCAAGTTTCATTGAGCCGTTCTGAGAAAGGAAGATATTTTCAGGTTTGATGTCCCGGTGGTAGAGGCCCTTTGAATGCATATACTCGACAGCGCTAACAAGTTGTAGCATCAATTCACGGACATGTTCAGTTTCCAAAGGTCCACGATTGTTCCTGATGGCTTCGTACAGGTCACCCATCGAACAATATTCAAGTACCAAAAACACATGGGATTCCGTCTCAAAAGAGTAGAGTAGGTTGACAATATTTGGGTGGTATCCCAAGCGGGTATGGCATTCTAGCTCTTCGGATCGCTCGTCAACGGCCAGAGGTGTAGAGTCTCCTGACGTCTTGCTCAAGCACTTGATAGCAACCTGGTCTCCAGTCAAGGTGTCATCTGCCAGGAATACCATTCCAAACGAGCCATGGTTTAGAGGAGCGACAGTCCGGAAACGATTGTCCAAGATCTCCCCTGGGGTGAAGTTATCCCTCAAGCATTCCATATTGTCTACGGAGAAATGAATGCCCACGAAACAGGAGAGTATGAGCGGCCAACAAGGAATCGAAGAAAAAAAAAAAGGAGAAGCAGATATAAAATATATATAGACAGGTCAAAATAGCTGTACAGAGAAAAGAGAATATCAAATCCCCTCCGCAAGATGGAGAAAGGGGAAAAACCACCCGAGACAGAAAGACAGAAAAGAAAAAGAAAAGGACGAGAGTAAGACACCGTAATTTGGAATCAGAGGTTCATACAAGATGTTCGAGATCGGTGGCGAATACAAAAGAAATATTGTCGTCCACGACTTGGGACAGTGGATTGTTTACGGTACCGCCGTAAAGCATAAAGAGAGTAAGAAATAGGTAGAGACCGTTAGGATAGCATCGGTGGGTGTCATCAAAGGCTGGTTGTTCGAAAAAGGAAAAGGGAGTAAGGAGAGGAAGAGAGTCGACGGTTGGAAGTCCGACGGTCGAGGAGATAAGAGGAGAGTTTGAAATTAAATCGCTGCGTAACAATGTCGTAAAGGAAATTTGAAATTAGAAGGGCGCATGGGATTTAGAGAACCTCGAGACACCTGGCCAGAAGGTTCATGAGGCAAAAAAAGTTGCTGTTGAATTTGACTTGTCTTTGTCGAGGACAAAGAACCCATACAAACAACCACAACAGAAGACGATGAGCAACAGATCCAGAGGGTGACACAGGCAATATTGGCCTAAGCTTCAGACAACACGAAGATTCAAACGTCAAATACCATTCAGAGTGAATTGTGTGTCCAAAATACCTGTGTAGCAGACTGTCACTGATGACTCGAAGGTCTGTTATCGATAGACTTGTCGAACGGATAACATCTGATGATGGTGGAGGTGCTGGTTCGATGATTCGAATCACGAAGCACGGAGTCGAAGTTGGGGTATTGTTTTGCTGTGCCAGCTGTGTTGCCAAGCAACGAGCTTCTTGATTGATTGTCGGTTTACTCAATGGTTCGAAGGCTCAACCGACCGAAAGCAGAAAGTAAACAATTCACAGGCTTTTGCTGGTAAAACGGTTGACGAAGACCAACGGGGTAAACAGAGCTGGGTATCAGGCCGTTGGGGAGACGCTACGTGCTTCGGCAGATGAGGAGAGGACGGAGTATAGCCGTGCACTACTATATAACGAAGGGGAATCAGGGAATAAACCGTTGAGGACAGTTGATTAGTCGTTGCTGAACTAGTGCACTCTTATGCCGGATCCTCCAAGTTGGAACATGAGATTGATAAGCGGACGAGGCGGATCGGGAGAGGGAGGAGAGCGAGGTGGTTCGGGAATATACGATAGGGAGAGAGGGGAAGAAGAGGGAGAGAAGAGGAAGAGAAGAGGAAGAGAAGAGGAAGGTGAAGAGAAAGGCCTGAAGAAGAAGACAAGGAAAATGAGGATGTTGCGGATGAGTGATGGTGATGAGAGATGGAGCGTAAAGAGGGAAGAGGGAGAGAGGGAGAGAGGAGGAGAAGAAGAAGAAGGAGACGTAGAAGTAGAAGAGCAGAAGGGGGATGACGCTGAGGATCCGGGGAAGGAGTTAACTAACTAGTCTGAGGTTGAGGTGACTAACAACTTGCCTCGTGGGCGGTGTGGTCGGGATGGGTACCTGGGCAGTACTTCAGCTACCAGTCACGGTGATGTGGAAGTACAGCCAGTGGCGGTTCCCTTCAGGTACCCCCAAAGAGAACGTTATGTACCTGCTGACACAACGCAGCAGAAGCCTGCAGAATGTGGTCGAATAGCAAAGGGGCGCGTGGAACTAAGTCTAAGCCCGCCACCCCAAGCCGACGCACGCTCTCCCTTGCAAGGAGGAGCAACCAGACACCACAGAAATGACACAATTGACACGCCCATGGATGGGTCTCCAGTTTCTGGAACGTGCATTTAGGGCTTTGGCAATAACATGGCTGTCTCAATACATTGGTTCTACGAAAAGTTACTCAAGACACCTTTGCCCCCAGGAAGGGATGTGGGCGTGGTTACATTCCGATTATGCAGTGGCAGCAGGATAATGTTACTATGATTTTGTTTACTTCAAGTTCAATATCCACAGTTTCTGTAATGGTTTCATATGTTTGTTGTTATGACCTGGCACAGAAGCCTAGTGAATCGGCTTACCCTCCCCCCCAACCAACACAACAGCAACTAAATAATAACAGCAGCAGATATCCCAGCCATACCTAGCTAGCCCCTGTGAATCCAATGCCTAAAAATGGTCTGTCCGAAAGTGATGGGGATGTGTGTCTCTAGCAAAAAGGGAGGGGGGGGGGGGGGGGTTGAGCTGGTCTGGCCCTACTTGAGGATTACAGTGCAACTGGCATTAGTGGATCTGTGTGTGGGGCCTGCAAGCATGCCCGTAATAATAATACAATGTACATATATGTAGTAATAATGTGCTCTTTGCATTAGCTGCCCCAGCTGGGCCAGCTGGGGCCGGATGCTTAGCGCACTGTATCTTATATGAGGAGGGAAAGTCGGGGACAGGCCGCCTCATACTGCGACCTGCCGGCCGTTCCTTTTTTACCCTTGAACAACGCTAAAGCTGTTCGCGTTTGAGACGGGGTTCTACGGCTTTCCTTTTCCACCTGGCGGCTTCCACGCCACAAGTCAGTCCATCGAGTTCTATTACAACTGTCCAGGGTGCAGGCTGCCATCGCCCGCTTGAGACTAGCTCCAGGTAGTTAATACCCTGCAGCACAGAGTTCATCAAACCATTGGTTGGGGCCAGCAAATTGGAGAAGCCATTGGTTGTTGGGTGTTGGGCTAGTTTCATTGGTGCACTTGCGGTGCTAATTTAGGTTTATGACGCCAGCGCTAAATGAGGGAGATACAGTAGAAAAGCCGTCCATGGGAAAGGACTCCGCGCCGGGGCCGAGGGGGGGGGGGGGTGCGTTGTTTGATGAGTGGTTGGACAAGCTTGCAAAGGTTCCACGAGAACCCTAATAATCATATAACTGGAAGCGAAGCTCCATCTGCTCTTTGCTCTGCATCAAAAGTTCAAACCAAATAGATGACTGACGATAGGACTTCTCGCGGTCGAATCCTAAGGCTAAACTTATGTCAAACTCGTTCACTTGAGGTAGGTAGTTAGTTGTTGACATGCGGAGAAGTGGGGTAATTCGTGAGCATAAACATCCGCCTGGCCGGAAAGCGTTAAGACCCTGTGTCCATAATCTTCGGGCGGTTCGTTGAGGGAAGGCAGGCTGCCATCGAAGAAACTCACTCATGCACAGTTCTTTACGCAGTATGCTGGACCTTGAAGGAATGATGAGATTGGGGCGAGGACAACCACGTCCATCAAATTCCTGCTGCTTGCTGCTTCCTACTCGCTGGTTGCTCTGTCAAGTTACTCTTTGACAACAACAACAACAACAACAACAACAACAACAACTTCTACCCTCACTTTTCAACCCAGCTATAAAACTACCCCTCCATCTGATTGGCAAGTTTCATCTGGCGCTTTGCTCCTCCTCCCAGCAATTCCCAAGGTCCCTTTCCTCCAATAGTACTTGCCCAGGTACCATCTTTCATGAAACGATCCGCTTGGGGGCGCAGTGGTTAGTTTGGCCTACGCATGCAAAAGCAAAAGATGCAAAAAATGCAAAAGATGCACCTGAGACGCCAGTTGCAGAATTCAGCATCTTGATACCAAACAACCCGCCCCTCTTCCTGTCCCCCGTGCGCGTGCGTTACCTTGGGCGTTGATCGGCTACGTGGACGAGGCAAGACGGGGGAAGTGGATCTAATGCCATACATTCCCCAACAGAGATCACCAACCATCATTTTGTCTCATGCCACCCGTCCTAAGTTGCTTGCTTAACTTCCGAAACGTGGAATCATACGTTTGGGCTGAGCTACCTAGTCGAGAATGGGCAAAAAATAATTTTGCCTCGAGTCTTGCCTATTGTGAACTGAGATACACCATCATGCTGCAACGGCGAATGAAGAGTTCTGTTCTCTTTCTTGCGCTTGTTATGGTGTTGTTGGTTTTAACATGGCTCGACCTTCTCAATTGAAACCGGGTCTAGTGTTCTATTTGTTTGACAAGTCACCGAATACTAGGTCAATCCGTTGAAAGATTGAACAGTGGAGTGAACAGTAAAGCGTTTCTTCGAGTATGTTTCTTTTTAGTTCAATCTGAGGCAGAGTTTCTACACTAACCACACTTTCTTAATAGCTGTCACCAAAGGTCTCGAAAACCATATTTAAACCATTTCGAAGTTCTCCCAAGGCTCTACTGAGGTCACCTTGCCGCGGTTGAGCAATTACAATTCGCCGAGTCATTTGAGGATTCGCCTACACTCTATGTTTCTATCTTAACTGTTTATCATTAGTTCTCTATTCTCCTTGAACTATGGATGTTCTATGAATCCTCGCAACTTGCAGGTTTAGGTTTAGTAGAGGTTCAAGATCGCATTTCCCGTTCTAAGCGTCTCTTGCCGTTGCCCTATTATTGGTTCAACCTCCAAAGGGTCCAAAATGACATTCCCGTATCTCTCATATGTTGATCCACACCTTTGACGCCTGGGATTTTGGAGTTGAATTTTCAGACAGAGAGCTGATCTCTCACCCAACGTTGTTCACATCCCATCCATGGATCCAATTAATTTCTACACATGGCTAGCTAATCACTAGCTCAATCGGGATATTATCACGAGTGCAGGAGCAGACCCTTAGTTTCGCGGAGAATGATTTCCGAGGACGTATTCACATCATTTTTCCTCGATGTGCCCCGCACAAAACCGTGGAACTCTTTGATGCTCCCGGACTCGAACCATAGTTAGTTAGACATTGTTTAAAAAGCTCGGTTTCAGTGAGCTGGGAGAGCCATCCACTGGAGCTCAAAACCCAAACTGTCCTTGATAAAAAAAAAAAAAAAAAAAGGTTCGAAGATTGATGTGCTTCATGAGAGATCCCATGGATAGAGAGTATCGACAATCGTCACCATACTATAGGGATACGTTTGCAGATCCCATCACTCATAGTACTATTTCTGTCACTTTGCGTGCTGGTTGGGGATTCATTTTGGCATATCCTAGCTCTCTATGGATCCGTCCTGTATCTGCGACGAAGATCAAGTGATTAAACTGGCACCAGTATTGAGAAAACCTCCGAAACACTAGACGATCATTCTTACCATTCCTTCCTTCTCACCAGCTCTGGTCCATCGACACTAAAACAAACAACTGTTATCACTTGAGCTCAATCCGCCCGCCCGATGAAAGGTCATACATAAATTACTCAAATTTCATTGTGGGTCGAGTTCCTGACAACCTCCATTTGACCACTGTGTAGCTCTCCACGTCTTCGGATTTCGGGCTGATAAGGAAGAGTATGAGTGATAAACTGTCTGGAGATAGCTATCTCCACTACATCACATTCCCCACTTTCCCGTCCACGTAGCCACGGTCCAACATCCCGAAACCTCTCCCATAGCAAACAAAGGATGGATTACTCAGCAGCTTTCACAATGCGTAACATGTTCAATAATAACGACATGATATTTACATGTTCTTTATGTGCCTTGCCAGTTTCCGCGGGTGACTGTTAAATTGTCAGTTGCCCTTTTTGTCCAGTGGTTCACTCCAGACTTTTGCTTGCAGCTGGCTAGCTTTGACTTGCAAGGAAAGATGTGCCGAGGTTTAGAGTTTGCTTCGTCAGAGCCAGGGTACTCATTCAACTGGTACCTGGAGTAGTTAAAGTGATAATAAATAAAGCTAATTAACCAATTCCCAATCAAGTGGGGGGGGGAGACCTTGATCTGAGTAAGACACAAATTCATTTTATCTCTAGTATTAAATTTAATTGGAATTTTATCAACAACAATATAAAAAGAATTTATTTAAAAAAAAAAAAAAATTTAAACTATATTAAATTAAAATTATTCTCTTTTTATATATATTCAATAGTTTTTTATTTATATATTTATAAATTTCTTATAATTATGATATTATAAAATAAAAATTAAATTAATATAATTTAATTAGTAACGCTTTTAAACAAAGAGATTGTAAAGAATAATAAATTTTAAATTTATATATATTTTTTTAAGAATATATATATATTTTATTATTAAGTTACTTATCTAACTTAATCAATCAGTTTTTATATACTTTCTATTAAAGCTTTCATTTTAACTTTATTTATTGTTTTATTCTTTATCTCTTTATTTCAAGTTTTGTATATTTCTCAAAATATTCTATTTTGTATATTTATCTTTCTTTCATCATTTATTCTCAGTAATTTTTACTTTTAAATAATATTTCTATGAATTAATTATATTTTAATATAAATTTATTATAAATTTAATCATATTAAATATTTCTTATATTTTAATTATATTATATTATTATAAGAATTGGCTTTAAAGCGCTACGCAGTGTTTTATTAAGTTTAAAGCTTTAGTGTAAGAGAAAGAGATTATAAAATCTCATATAATTAAAGATAATTTATTATATTTTATAAAGCAGATTTAATGAACAATTTTTACTAAGTCAAATTTAGTAGTTGTTGAGAAGTATTTTCTCTTCAGCTGCAAAGTATTAATGTGAATTTGCATATAAGATCCCGGTTATATGAAAAGCAATCATTTATTAATAGATAAGGGTAAAGTATGAATCATTATGGAACTTTACAGCATTATGAATAGAGGTAGTTTCTTTATTTTCCAAGAAAATAATTGTAAATTCAACTCTGTCCTCTTATTTTTATATAGTTTATTTTTATTTTTATTGTGAGTTAATGGCATTCTGACACTTTAAAAGTAGATTGATAAATTCACTATGCATACAGAGATGGGTGTCCCGCTGCTCGGTTGGGAATTTCGTTCCGTTAGTTAACTAAAAGGTCAAGCGGTTAAAGATGAGAGGGCTGGGTAGTGTAGGCCAGAAAAGGTCCTTGCTGCTATCGCGCCCCGACTATCAAACCTAATATTCTATATTTGCTCTTTGAAAGGTTTTTGGGATGCTCTTTGGGTCCAAATATAGTTATTCTTCGACGTAAGCTTATTTAATGGATTGAATGATACAGATAGTTAACGTGAGCAAGTATGGTATAATATACTTTATGATCAGAGACATCCTTAGTTATCTGCCAGGCCATCGCATTGGCTCCGACGTCACAAATAGAAATATGCAAGTATTACTACACGATGCTGAATTGGTTTTGCTCTGGACTGAGTTCCATAAACCCCTTCCCCCTCCTGTAAAAAAGGTTCTTTTTTCTCTTTAATCCTGGCCGAGGTCTTCAGTTATATGCTTGGATCATCTCGTACGCTTCGCAAATGCCGTCTGATGTCACCGGAGAAGCTCTAAAGGGGAATAGATATGGATCCTCCAACCGAGCCCATGGAGAATTCTTTTTATATAACAGTTGGTTTTCCAGAAGAACAGAGCCGACAGGGCCTAGACGTATGTACCCACCACCGTCTGCATAATAGGCAGGGTCTACAATGGCATTGCAGCTGGTGCTCCTGCTGGTGCTCCCTAGCCATGTCACACGCGACAATTAGAGCTGATATAAATATTCTAGCCGCTGGAGTTGGTTAGAAAAGGACTATGCATGCATTTTGGCTGTCCTCCCCCCTGCCGCCCTATATGACTGTAGATGCAATCCTGAATGCTAATAAACAAATTAGTTAGTGCTGTGCGAAGGGGGAAGAAAAATATTTGCGTCCTTGTGCACCAGTTACCGTTCACTTTACCTTACAGGTGGGCGCAATGCTGGCCTTCGTTACATCTTAATGTGTAGCAACATGTGTCAATTAATACACTTCCAAGTTGTTCCTTGCAACGAAAATATGCTTTTTAATTCTGACCAGGAAGGCCAATGGCTCATTAAATGCCCTAAGACATTTAATGCCTCGGTGAGCTGTTACAAGCTGCTGACTTGGATTTCAGTTTTCTAGGTCGTTTCGGGGATCCGGGGGGACGCTGTTTCAGTGCATTCCTTGACACAGCACCGCCCTTTTTGTTGGACGGTGGAAATCAAGTTTTACATCCACATATCTTATGGGTGCCAAGAGTATCATTGTTGTTGTTGTTGTTGTTGTTGTTGTTGTTGTTGAATTCTTCCTTGGAGCTGACGTGGTGTAAATAATCTTGCTTTACTTTTCTTGTATTATTGACCGCTTTTTTGTTTCAAAGCCAAGTCGACTGATCAACTAACCCGTTGATCAAGAACTATAGTAAGTGCGAATTAGTTGTCGTTTTAACTGTGCAAGACGCATGATCCTCGAAGCTTTGACTTACTGGAATTCTGCTTCTGCACAAAAGTCGTTGGGGACGTGTGGCCGGCGAGCATCCTTCATGGGTCGTGAGAGGGGAGATGATCAATTAACTAGTTATTGGATATCGCTGCTTGTGTGAAACTTCCAGTGGACTTGGAAAAATAGAATCGGCCGTGAGAAATATGCTAACCGGTGGTCTGTGATAACAATAGCCGTCAAGGAACGGAGTACGCTTAAGCATGATGCGTTGAGCGTTGAGCTCATGGGAACCACATGCGGACCTCATACGGACGCCCAAAAGGCCTTCCCCAAAATCTTGCGATATAACTAATTATCAGCTGCCAAGACCGATGTAATTTAGTGACGCTCCGGGGCTTGGGATGAAGTATCGCATTCCTATTTCTTTCGATCTTCATATTTCATTTTTGGAATACAACAGCCGCTGAGTACCTGGTATGTATATACCTGCTGTATGGGATCAACAAATTCGATCAATCACGCATAGATGTTCTATTTATGCGGTACACACACTTACGCAAAACTTGTTGACATGTTGGGCAATGAGAAAGGGTACGGGTGTGTTAAAAACAAATCGGGACACAGAATATCCAACATCTTTCGCACAAATCAAATCCTGGTCTCTGCAGCACTACGCGGCACATTTCATAGCACAGCATATCACAGAAAAATAAGGAACAAACTCCGTGTGAACGTTGCGACTCGCGTGAAAAGCAGGAGAGACGGACCAACGAACAGCCTTCAACATGCGCTAGAGATTGGTGATACTTTGCATATGCATATGCGACTTGCAAGTTGCAGCTTGCACTGTCTTATGCACATCCTTCATGCCTCCAAGAGAAGCTGGACCTGTCAACATTTGTGGTTCGATTGGGGATCGAAAAATGCTTCGATTGTTGTCATATCATTGGGCAGAAATGCAGCTTCTTTCTCCAAATCATGTCCCCATGGCTCAAGGGCCACAACACCTATTGGTGGACAGGTTTGAAAGCGCATTTTTATTTCCTTCTGGGGGGTGGGAACACATAGTTAACAGGCGGATGTGCCTTATGCCTGGTTGCTGGTATGTCGTTGCATTCACATCACGAACACGGAGGCGGACCGGGAAATAACAATGCCTGTCCTGCCACGAATTACCGGTCTGTCAGGTCAAAGTTCCAAATCCACGGCTTCAATAAAATTAAGAATAATAGTCGAATATTATTCATGCGATTGACCAGCAAGATGGCTGAGTATGAATCGATGAAGATCATGATGACACAAAAATTCGAGTGTCAATGTAACTAACTTTCGTCAGTGGCGCCTCACACGACCACTTCCCAACCCTTTCTCTCCTCAGGGACTTCCAAGCTGGGGACGTGAAGGATTATCCCCATGATTTGAGAAAGTTAAAAGAAAAAAAAAAAAGCCAAAAAAAAAGCAGCTTTATAGATGCTTAAATTATTATTCTAGTCGCTTTGGCGGGAAGAAGATCTAGCATGGATTGGTTTAAAGGTTCAAATCAGGATTTCTTCAAGGTTCCCAGCAACGAGACTTTTAAAACTGCGGAAACTTAAAGAGGACCGACCGTTTGATCATGGGGTCAATCAGTATTCAATAAGGCAGACTTGGTTGACAGGAAGTCTCTTCCCCCGGCTATTGTGAATATTTTCGAGTTTGTTTTTATCTTTCTTGAAATCAATTCATTGTGCCGGCCGTCTGATCAGCTCCCCAGGATCCCCAATTCCATACCCGAGGAAAGCTCAAGGAAAACGACAAGTAACTACCATTAACGATGACAACATCTTGACCCATTCATTATATACTTCAAGATTGCATAACCACGATCAGGAGTGGTGCCACCCTCGCTCCAGTTTTTGAGTTGAGATATATCTCACTGATCTTGGGGCGGCCGATGTCGCCCTTGTTCTCTGGAATCGACAAATCAAGCTTATCGTCCATCATATTAATGCACACGCACCATGTTGGCAAATACGAACTGGAGCTTAGGAAGCTTAGGGACAAAACTAGGCGAGCTACGGAGATTATTGGCTTCTAACGGTTCTAGATCTTCTTTCGCATGTCTGTCGTTCTGATAAACTCATGATTAGAGAGTGCTGTGTAATTCCGACCTTAGGCACCATCGCCATGGAGGGATAAATTTGTTTCCATTCGATATATATTCCGCACAAAGGCAGTACGTGCCGCGTTGTCTGATATAACAACTGCTAGTGGTTTTGCGGAGTGATAAATCAAACGTATGTTCTGTTATGATGGTTCCATGTGTTCAATATGAGTGCATGGCTAAATCGCCATCTTTATGGATTTCAAGCGACAAGCAGGACAGAAGGTCACAGTAACAGAATCGTCTGATACCTGCTCGGGAAGTTCCCTTGCTCCACACAAGCCTTTTACTGCAAAGAGCACTGTCCCTTTTAGTCTCGCGCTACTTGAAAGTTGGGAGTTGCAATGCACCTGTGGAGTGCTTTTTCGTATATGCGTGAACCGAATTTGGTAAAGAATAGTGACAACATAAGGTTGGTGATGCTTGTGGTAGGAGACAGATATCGAAGCTTAGGATAAATGGGCTGCAGAGCTCACAACTCAGCTCATAAAGTTAACGATGCACCTCCATCTTGTTGGTCTGGAGGGTGAAATTCTGCCCAACCCTGTAAACTGAGGGCTGCCCTTATTAATCAGAAAGGACAACATCACCCTGGAGTAGTTGTTGTGGCTCTTGTATCCCTAATGGGTCCGCACTGTGCCTGTATCATCGAGGGAACCGTCAACGACCTTGCCCAAGAGCCCAGGCAATCTTCACACTGGGAGTCAAAATGGTACACACGGCCTCAACACATGCCCTTAGCAAGCCCACACGCAAACCATTGGGTTGCAAGTGACTCGAAAATTCTCAATCAGTCGTCAATTATGCCACCTTCTATCAGGCAAATCATCAACACTGAAGATGTAAAATGCAGTCCTTACAAGAACTGGGTTTGCAGTTCCTGCCGTGAAAGTAAGTTAGGCCTGGCGCTTTGTAGTTGCTCCGGACAGTCAGTTTTACATTCAACCTGAGTGGATAACAGTCAGATGTATCTATCTTCCCGCCCTCACCAGCAGAGAAGCCCACGCCAGCCACAGCGGGATTGAAGTGTAAAAGCAAGAGATGGTGATTCCCCCTTTCCATTCAAGCTAAAGCTTGAATGCAAAACTGAGACTTGGGGATGCGCTGGTGTCAATGCAGATGTATGATTAATGCAAGGGATGTATATCACTGAAAATCGGGACATCCTGGATAACAGCGATCAGGGCTGGATGAATGCCCTAGGTATATCCACATTTTTTTCTTCCTTCTTTTTTGGTGTCAATATATGCACAATCTGCAATCATTTGTCGCATCCGTATGCAGGGATTTCGAAGGTTAACGCTTCGAATATTGAGAAATACAAGATAAATCGAAGGATGGACATGAGCATATGTAAGTACGGTGAACATGATATCTATATACCGAAGAACATACTTCATAGGAAATAATCAACGATGTGCATGTCATGTCTGCGGAGTGAAGTCTGGTAAACGTGATCATAGAAAATTAAGATCATGTGACTTTTCCATTCCGTAGATGCTTTTGACAGACACTCCGTATGGAAGATTAAATTGAGAATTCGGTTATTGAAAAGACTCTTAAGGTATGACACTCACCGGATTGTTGGCGATTTGCTAATGGCTAATAGCTAAAATCCAACAACTATTATGGCAAATGGATTGCCCAAGATAACAAACGGGATCTGGTGACTATGCTTCTGCACCAAAGGGGAATTGAAGGTGTCTCTAACATTGGTCGAGAAACAGAGGAAACGGAAAGAAAAATAATGATATTCTTGCACCCTTCTTTATCACCTGGATCAATAAATGTCCCAAAATGTTCCGTTCATAGAAATGAGACGGTTAAACAGAGAGTCTCTTCGCCCGATTGCTGTGACTTGATACTGTTGCTCCGCGTTCTTCCCCGAGATCGCCAAACCGTCAACCACCTCTTTGTTAGGCTCTGACCATCCCACAAGCAGTTTCTCTGTCCATCCCATAACACTAATCTTCTTCAATACTTGAATTTCATTAATTGAAATTGAAAACAAGATAGTCCCTTTCTTCTTCCCTTCTTCGATGTTAAAGTCCTTGGATTGTTGTCCCGGTTCGGTGGTAAAATAAAGCATTAATGGTTGCGTTGAAGGAGGCGACGCGATGATGATAGCTCCCTTCTGCCCCTTGTACCTTGCTTGCTCTAAATGTCGTGGGTGAGGTCGACTGTGAAGATTGGCGTTTCTTGCGAAGTATTCCAAGATACTGCTTAGAAGCCATTGACCCAAGAGCGGTTTTAGTGTAATCATAAGCAAGCTTCGTTTCAACTCCGGCCTCAGTGGCTCCTCTAAAGAAGTTAGCAATCGTAGTACCCCAGGTTTTCTTTTCCGGCTCCGCCTTGGCTGGGGATTTCTCTCCGGTTTCGCTGGAATTTTCTGGCGATTCTGGGTTGATGTCAGCATCTAAGAACTCCTGAGGTAGTTCTTCCTCTGCTGTGGAAACAGACTCTGATGTTTTTGATTTCAAAGAAACGGGAGGAGCTGGGACGGGATAGCCGCACGCTTCTCCAATTCGAAAGATGGTAAGGGTAAGTTGAGCGTTTGTTGGTACACCTCTAAATATGAGGCTACATAGGGATGGCTTAGAGACTCATTCGTGCTTCTCACTCTGGAAGGGAAATTGATTGCTAACTTACTTTCCTCCTTCCCCTTTCGCCTGCGTCGGATTGCGTGGCTTCCGATCCAATAGTCCTGTGGCTTTACCGATAATCGGATCCCCAAAGAAACCAAATCCCGCAAGAAACGTGCCTGTTTTGATGAATATATAACTTGGTGTTAGCAGGATAACTGCAGTCGCAAAACTTAAGAGAAGCGCTATTCGTATTCGAGGCCAACTCGATATGAACGGGGGTTTTGGAGAAAGGGCACTGCCAGTCAGAATGTCTGCGAAACATTCCCCCTGTTGGGAACTAATTGTGCGAACAATGGCATACTTGCTGAGTCTTTCGTATACATCCGAAAAACCATCAATCAACACCGTTATCTGTATTGCCTTTTCCCGGATAATCTCCATCATATGCTCCTTAGTCTTGTCATGTTCCTCACTGGGCATACCGCCACGGGAAGCGGTTGCCGCATCTGCTGTTTTAGACGCGATGTTCGCAGGATCTCCTAAAGATGAGGTTTCATTTTCGTCATCTGCTTGCGCTTCGTCGTCATATTTTCCACCAGCGCATTCCAAAGCCAGACGGGAGGCACCTGAAACCAAATTGCTGGCCTCTTACTCGACTGCTTCACCCTTGAACTTCTCGGGAGCGCCTGTGACGGTGCCCTTTGATCCCACTACACCAACTTTCGGTTGTTGAGCACCGCCAGTTTCGGAACTGACTAGACTTACTGGTACCGGAGGAAATAGTAGGATTTGAGATGAAGGAAATAAAATTAACACAAGCAGCGTGCTGAGAGCTGTTGGTATTATAAGGTCCAGGACCCAAGCAGCAAAATAGACCTTGGTAGGAGATTTGAGAATTAATTAGCAAGGCAACTCTAACGTTTAACTACCCGGTTTTAATGTTTATTTACTACTTACCACACAGAACGCTGCTGTTCGCCGAGTCTCTTTCCACGAACGCAGTCGAACAAAACGTTTGGAAACGTTAATGAGCCAATTACTACCATTGCGTAAAACCGCTCAATGGCAGACCTGAGCGTATCTGGCGAGAAACCTTCCTCCTTTGTCCTATATAGGTCGAAATCACCCGGAGGAGGGGCGGGCACGGCTTTGACGTTGTGGACTTGCTGCGACATTTTAGATCTCATTTCCCACCCGTTTCGACCATGGATCGAGATCCAATAGGTTACATGAACCTACATCGTTGAACCACCTGATTAACATCCAAAGGTCCTCGTTTGAGAGCCCTTTCACAGGAGATTCATTTGTGCCTGTCGGGGATCGCCCCTGAGGATCTGAATCCGCTCTCTGGTTTTCCCGGAGCACTTTCTGCGCCGCCTTCTCAGCCAACCCATGTTCGACTTGCTCTATTTGGGCAGATGAGGTAGCTTCAGCTGTTGAGACTTGCTCCTCTGGTTTCTTGTGGATAGGGACAGGGTTGTGCTTCGTTGTCGAGTCCTTCTCAGCCATTGCTGGTGGTTCTGTTCGGGATATCCAAAATCCCCGACCTGGCAATATAATGTGTGATGATTGTTTTCATTTTAGATTTAATGTCCAAGGAACTGACATTAAATTGTTGGGAGAGCAAGCAGCAATTGGCCGCAACGCCACCTACGTAGCAATATTTCACAGACCTCATTGGCAGCTTCTGCGATGGAGAATCCATGGATGGTGGACGAGGGATACTATTCCTAACGCGGTCTAGCATAAACCCATATCCAAATGCACCTTTTCAAGGCTTGGTTGCGCTATTCCATACATGGGTTAAAGTATATGCGCGTATATTAATAGGTGGGTAGGTTATATTGGAATGATTGTCTAAAGATGGAATTGAGGTATATACACCAAATACTGAGAATCTGAATATGACATACATAGATAGGTTGAACGCCAGTGAGGGAATTAAAAGGGATCGCTAGTTAAACACCCCCTAAGAACTTGAACAGAATGCGGTAAGCTTTAAAACATCATATCGCCCATTCGTCCCTATTATCTGCAGCACTGATGAATGGCTCATCAATTTGCTTGATTGCATATTCACCACAAAGAATACTGATTGAATACAAGTATGTCAGCAGCGTTTCTCTTAAAAATTGAAATCTAACGACAATAAGGTGTGATGAAACAGTTAACTCACCAAGCTTCAGCAATCAACCCATCCAGGTCACGTATAACCTTCTCCCGTTTCCCTCCAGTATTCGTTTCCTTGCTCATTTCAAGCTGCAAATCCCTAATGCGTTTCCTCTTGCCAGACCCAGCTGCTTCAAGTATCTTCTTTCCCAAACAATCACTATGGAACGCATGCTGGCAAGGAAACACGAAAAACTGGCGACTAAGCAGCGGTAATGAACATATCCAGCATTTCTCCCCCGGTTCCACAATAGCATATCGTAAATCAAGTGCAGCAATCTCATTTTGTATTTGCTCAGCCGTATGCGCAGAATTGTCCATTTCCTGACGCAAGCTGTCGATATGTCGCGAGTAGTCTTCTAACGCAGAACAGATCTCATCCTTGAAATCGTCAACTACGACAAAATCCGGAAAAAAGGGGATAAGATCCTCTATGCGGAGAAGCTCGCAGCGACGGAGAAACTCAATTGCATCTTTGATTCCAGTGCCTGGTTGGCGGATCTTCTTCTCCGCTACCAGGAGCCATAGCTTTTTGCGAAGTTTGTCATTTCCATTGGGGAGGTCGGCAACATATGCAGCCAGCTCTATGTCGTTGTGTTTTAGAGCAAGCTCCACAGCTTGTAGATACTGGCACATAGTCGTGTAGATGTGGACGCATGACTGGACGCGGTTATGCTGGATGCACAGACGGAGGGCAAAGTCAGCGTCGTAAGGGGGAGGGGATGACGGTTGAGAGGAGAGGTATGATAGCAGCGCAGCCTCCGAGGAAGAGGGGTGGGAGGCATGTATAGAAATGAAGGTGTTGTGCACCGCTGCCGATGGGTTTGGATGGTTGGCAATGATAAAATTTAAATAACGAATGGCTTGATTTTGACTAAGCGGGACCTTAGTAGCGTTATTGTAACTCAACAGGGCAGGAATAAGCTTTTGAGGGTCGAGATCAATTTGTCTCATCAGTATATCGACGAGATCGGGAGGCACATGTGTCATGAGTACGGAGCTGTACTTGTAGAAAACATCCGGGTTCGTCTGTTTTTTTAGGACGTTGAGAGCTTCACTCCATTTTTCTCGTTGGATCCAATATGAGAGGACAAAATTGCAGTCATTGATAGCAGTTGCAAAATATAACAGTTCCTCCTCTCTTCCATGACTGCCAACGATGTCATAGACGGTTTTCGGATCAAGCTCCGATTTATATTTCATAACAAAGTCCTGAAACTCAGCCCGTACGTTGTTAAGTGCATCTCTTGTTTCCCCAGCATTTGTCCCTTCCACTAACTCCGCTTTCGTCGCAATGGTGTCATCGAGTGAGTTTAGCTTGGACATGAAAACTTCCACGAGCCAACTAGCAATCATCGTCCTTTGCATTATTGCAGACTTCTTGTAGGTTGACATTTGTGTGAGAAGATATTTTCTCAGAGCATCTTGTTCCCCTTTATTCATAAAGGTCAGGCAGACCTCCTCGAAACTTTTGCTGCTTTTACCCCATACCGAGGCAGCCTCCAAATATTGGCCCTTACTTGCAAGATAGTCACCAGATGCTGTGGCCACAGCATCTTTCTGGGCTGCGCCACGGGCGTACCGCAGAGCGGCATCGAATTGCTGCTCCTTCAGAAACATTTTCCATATATCCCTGTCTTCGTCGTTGGCTGCAATTTCGTAAATTTCCTTGCCAACAAAGAGCCAATGTGTATTTTTCTTCTGATCCGATACCAGACCAAGAGAACTTTCGCCGCGCTCGAGAACGGCCTGGTCATATACAATCTCCCCATTTAGCCTGTTGGCTGCCACGATGCGACCTTCGACCAGAGTCAAAATATGCCACTGAGTCAAAGTCATCCCTTCAATCGGGTCTTGGATCAATTTTCGGCCGCCTCTGGCAGACTCTGATGCTGGCAGAATAGACCTGGGGAGTAATTTGGCCTTGTCGAAAATACGCTCTCCTAGCTCTGGGGTTGACGGCGTCGTTGGAACTGTTCCATAGAAGACTCCTTGAGAAGTGAGCCAGGCAAACTGTTTTCCTGTGCTTTCCCCTTCACCATAGCGATCCTCTGGAGGGTCAGGTTGCATAGCAAGTAGCGAAGGCGCTGATAGGGATGCGCTTGAGACCTCATGCACAAGGGGAGCTTCCTTGTGGAACAGATCTGCAAATATCGAGCTGCCGCCTTCTTTACCATGTTTTCCCACACGGCCCATGAAATATAATATATTCCTATGGGACGATAGTATAACACTTCGGTAATCCGGGCTTCCAGGGACCAAACCCACCCAAATACCTGTAACACTCGATCCCGGGATCTTATACACTGAATTAACATATCTTTCGTCCCTGCGGTAGAACTCCGATAGCGGTTCGATATAGACTTCATAGACATTCCCATCCGATGCACCTACTAGAATCTCCCTAGTTGAGGCCGTTGGCAAGGAAGGATTCCATGCGATACTCTCGATGGAAACACCTTTCAAGCGGGGAAGGGCTTTCGGCTGTCTGGACTGATTATGGAGGTAATAATTCTCGCCATGTGTAGTTGTGATGATAAGATGTGAAGCGGTAGGATCCAGGAACATGCGGCGAATCAAACCTGTCTCCGAAGACTTCCTGGGCAGATCAACGTCTGCATTTTTCGGGTTGGGGAAGTGATGGTTAGCTCCAGTAACCACCAAATAAGAGAGCATCTTGGAAAGAAAGGCCACAACCCAGGGAAGGATGGTTCTTACCATCGATATCCTCCGCATTATCGAGATCAATCCGCAAAATTCTCCTCGATGCTAGAGCAAGAATAAGAACATTGTTCGCAACCTGCGCGGCAACAAAGTCCGTCGCTATGGAGAACTTAAGCTGAACCCGCTCAACATTGAAAATGGGCGCAGAGGTGTCTGTGAGTTTGGCCAAGCTGCTGGCAGCTACGTAGCCGCTTGATCCATCCAGCGCCATTATGCGCTGAGATTCAAAGATATAACATTGCGATTTTGCGACTTGTGGGCTGTGATATCAAGTGTATACAGATCGAGATGTTCGAAGGAAGCCTTTGGGAAATGCCAAGACCGAGCTCCTGTAATTGGATGAGTATTACGTAAGCCATAGGAGGAGAGAACAATTAGAGCTCTGCAGAGCTCCCTCGGAAGATGTGGACATTAGGGTTTGTATACACATGTAGCCTATTATTACATCAATGCGATGTGGCCAGACAGAGTGATTGTACGTGATCAGCCATATTGAGCTGAAGCGTCAGAGAAGGGCTTGGTTGATCGTCATAGCTCACTTCAAAACAGGGAGAAAAGATGCCCAAATAAATCATCCTCCATCAATGAATGGCTTAAGAAATGGAAAAACAGATTGAATCCAAGAAACGTTATCACTAGTTAATACAGTAGAGCTGGTGACAATCCTATTCTCAAATGAATAGTTAAGCTCCTGTCAGAAAGAAAATGGAGGGAAGCGCCAAAAAATGTTAGTAACAGATAGATAACGAGGTGCATGGATGGTGTATTGAGGGTCATTATTATTACCATTGCCATAAGCATGCGGCCATAAGTAAGTGACTTGGGAATTTCACCAATCATACCCAAAAACAGGAAAAATGTAAATCCCAAATAGAACCATCCCCATTTTTTCAAATAACAATACACTCCCTCTCCAGCTTTCCACCTCGTTTTTTGAGAGAATGATGATTCTTGTGTTTCGGTACCTTTTGTGTATTCTCCTTGTATACTTTCGCATGTTTGGACTTTTTTCTTTTCTCGCCATCGAAACTATCGGCCCCGTTCACTTCGAAATTGCCATCCGGGATACGTTCAACGGTGATAATTGTGCCATTCATGGCAGTTGAATGAGAATGAGGAACATCATTATTTCCCAGCTCTAGCTCGTTCTGACTTGTTGAGCTGGAATCTTTTAAGATAGGTAGGCTTCTACAAGAAGACATACTACATATGGCCTCTTCACCACCGCTAGCTGCTTCCTTTCCATTCTCGGGGACAGTCTTTGTCGAATTGAGAGCTGACAGAGCATTCGCGTCAGATCGTTGATTAAGATTAGTTTCCGGACTTGCACCATTTGATTTTGCCTCTCTACCACCGTCAACGACAGAAGTTATGGAGTTTATTCCTTCCAGGCTTGATTTAGATGATACCTTTGCAAAACTTCCTGGTTCTCCATATGAACTCGACGGCCGCGCACGGGAGGCCGACTCACTATCACTGTCAATAGGAACTATTTGGTAGAAGAGAAGATATGGAGACTCTTCACGTATGGCACTTTCTATATCGACAATTGTGATTCTTTCGTCGGTTAAATCGTCGAATCGCATCCAGTGACGACAGGACATCGAACCATCGTGATTATCGGAAGGGGTGCCTCTGGCCAAAGCTATATAGTGACCAGATTCAATGGAGTTTCCACGGTGGCAAATGGCTGATTGAAGGGAAAGTTTGAAATTCCTGTACAATGGACCACCATCTTCCATCTCATCATCTTGTATGAAATACGGCAGTCCAATTTCGATAGGGATATCAACAAAGGTGTCTAGGCGGACTGTATTTCCATTAGGAAGCACCGAGTATCGTTTTAAACATATTCCGAGAATCGGTCTTTTGGAAGAAAAATCAACTGCTGATGCTGCATCGTGGCACCGCACACTGTCCGTGTACCAGGCTTTTGGTTTGATCAGTGGGGTTTCCTACAATTACACGGAAAGTAACTCACGAATTAAACTAAACATCTGCCAAGCAGGTAGCAGGACCTCTTTGCGGAAGGTCCCTCTCCGCCCCTTATTGGGAGTTACCGCATTGGTGTTGTCCCCATCTTCATTGGAATTGCCTTCGGGGATGAATCGATTTACTATTATGCTCGATGAGCGCGTGCGTGCTTTCGAATGTATTGGTGACGGTGTATGTGACATGTAAACAGGAGGATCGGTCACTTTCGTGGATTCAGAGAAAGACCTCGAAATTGGGGAATCGGACGTTGGCGAAGTTTCCAGGTCGCTTGTCTCAATATAAATCAAGCCGTCCTTTGTCACTGAATCTGTCGAGTATACCGACATTTCTGTATATTTCCGATCCAGATACCTTTTAACAGCAATTTGGTTGTTGAAATATGCTTCAAGACAGTCTTCCAAAGTTATTGACTTGCTATCAGCTGTCTCTGTCGGAATTGCGACCTGTAGTAGTCGCTCATTTATGTACTTGTGATCATTGCCTGCTTCTTCTTTCCCCGTATGAAAAATGTCCATTTTCAACGTGAGCAAAGGAAGATTAAGTTGTTCTGTGATAAATGTGAAAGCTTCAGATACATCTTGTTGCTGCGATTGGGCCGCGTCATGCCATCCACATTGTGCTAATGCATCTTGGACTTGCTTTGTCTGCCAGGCATTTTCAATGTTAGTGGTAATATGTTGTTGGTAACAACACAGGAGGTTCCCATGGATTGGCAAAAGGTTAACGAGCTACTAACAATGTCCTTTGTTATCAATTTCCCAGACCGCAGCAAGTTTACCCACAACCGCAAAAGCATGGATAGATTTTGCTGAGGCTCATGCTCTTCATCGTACGAGTCATGTAAGATAACTTCAAATGAATCCAGACGTGCAAACATTGCGAAGAGCAAGGCATCGAGATAGCATGTAACACCATTCCGATTTTCAGCACCAAGCAGCTTAATGGAAGGATTGTAGCTACTTATAACGCCATGGAGGGAATCTTCAAGGAGCAAAAGAAATTCCAATGCTTCGTCTACATCACCATGAGATATTTCAGACCGGAGAGCATATCGTATTTGCGATTCTCCTAGAACGGTAACCCCTAACTTCAGCAGTTGGTTTTGTATCTCTTCAATCTAATAAGGACGTTAGGAACATAACCAGTATCGGTAACATCTCAAAGCGCACCTTTAAATCCTCTTTCCCAACATCGATAGTATGGTTTAAATCTGATTTATCCACTGAGAATAGTTTCAAAGGCGCGAAAAGCTTTTGGTCAGCCTTGGGAGCCTAGGGGGGATGGATCAGTCCGCGTCCAACAGTGCAGATGCCTCTTCTTCAAAGATGCAAAAAGAGAGAGAGGGGGGGGGGGGGGGGGGGGGGGTGGTTATATAAATAAATAAAAATTAAATGAATAGATGATTGAAAGAATATTAAAGTAAAACAGAAATTGCAACACATAACTCACATTAGAACGTAATGGAATTCGCCGCTTGGATGGAAATGCATTTCTCGATTTACTTCGCTTGTCTCTCCTGGGGAGGAATCCCGAAATTCCAGTCATATCGGTTCGTCCAATTATTACAGTGTTTCATTCACGGATAAAGAATTAACGGCAATAAAAGAGTTGCGCTTAAATGGTTGCTGGGTTTTATCCAGTGGCATGCTCTCAACGGTGTTACACTTTAAACATCGTGGCCGAGATTCGAGCAGATGAAAAATGTCAGCAGGAGTCGAATTGCCACCAGGCAGCATAATTAACAATAGCACAAAAGGGTAAATAAAGGGTTTACCTTGTCGCGATTATGAATCTGGCGATGGCCAGGAGGGGACGCTGTTTGTGGGGGAATCAGGTATCCCGCCTCAGCTGATACCCCTCCAGCCAAGCAGAACATAGAGATCTAGAGCTATGCGGGGCTTATGATGTCAATTCGTAAGATATTGGGTCAAGCGAAACAAACAACCACAAGGATATCCCAGCAAGACTAGCCAACAAGGAGTGCGTGATAAAACACTTCTTCGATATGCAATGAAGTGTAGGTATATCTCCCTGATCATTGGGGGACGTTGGAGTTGCAGAAGTTGCTAAGTTGTTGGAGCCAAGACCATCTGAGGTTACGATGACGTATGGTCGAACTTTCCCAGGGCAAGATCGGCCAACGTGCGCCTTCCCTAAAGAAACTCAAAACTTTGTGACTAATTACCCAGCTAACAATCACGTGCTCAGTAATTTTCAAAACTCTCCAAGTCTCCGGAACTTTTTGTTATAGCGAAGTCCGAAGAAACGGGCTCGATCCATATCCCACGCGGCAGCAATGGCTCTCCGTGAACCCTCAATCAAGATTTACAGGGTGCTGCCCAGAGCCTCTACTCCATTATCTAACCACCTGATCCCGTCGTGCCGTCGCAATGCCTCGTCCGCATCGGCCGTTCTTCCCGAAACGATCACGGATGATCTCGACACATCTTCGACCTTCTCCCAACCATCTGCTCTGCCAGAGGACGAGATCAAAGCGTTCGATCCAATAGCCAGAAGCAAAGCGCGGAAAAAGCAACTACCCCCCAGCCGGTAAGCTTCCAATTCCCCTACACCAATGGCTGAGTTCATCTCAACTCTCGGAAACTCACACCATCCAATCCAGCTACCAATTTCGCCCTCCAAAATTCGACCGTGGCCCCCTCCACCCCCACCGCCCACCACCAGCCTGGGACCCCGCATCCCGCCAATTCATCCCAGGCCCCTTCACCCTACCCCGAGTCGAGCAAACCTACGAATCCACCATATCTCACGACATTCTTACCCTCTGCTATGTGCACAATCCACCCGGATTCAAAGCACCCCCTTCCCCCCCCCGCCTTCGAGGCTGGGACGACAGCTCCCCATACCATGCAAACCGGCCCCTCCGCGGCCCCCGAGGCGGCGACGTTCTCCGTCTCCTCCGCAAACCCATAACGTTCCGAAATATTCCCAAGCTAGACAAGATCACGCTGCACAGCTATGTGAAGCAGGTTGTCGAAAGCGGGTCGGCGCCGCTGCATGTGGCTGGCATGGCGATACAGGCTATATCCAATGTGCGCGTGCGGACACATAAGATGAAGGGGAGCATTGCTAAGTGGGGAATTGTTCCCGGTAAATCGCACATTGCCGTTACGGCTGAGCTGAGGGGTGAAGATATGTATCATTTCTTCGGGAAGTTGGTTGATGTGGTCCTGCCTAGAATTAAGGATTGGAAAGGCATCAAGGGGAGCAGTGGTGATAGTAGTGGGAATATTTCATTTGGTCTTGAGCCGCATATGTTGTCTTTGTTCCCTGAGATTGAGGTTAATTATGATATGTACGTTGAAGCCTGCCCTTTCTTTCTTTCGCCTAACGTCAATTTTGGGCTTTTTATTTTGGCGAAAATGGGACATATCTAACTTTTCCCTTGCATTTATATAGGTACCCACCAGCCATGATACCCGGCTGCAACATAACAATCCACACGACCGCGACAACAGACCGTGATGCCCGACTCCTCCTGAACGCAATGGGCATTCCATTTCATGGGAAATACGTCAATTAGAATCAACGACACCTAACAACTCCAAAAGAGCCTGTCACTCCGGGTGTCTGATTTTCTTCTGCGGTCCTTTGATCTGCATTACTTCTTCGTTGTTGGAGGCCTTCCCCGCCCCACATTTTGGTTATAATGCACATGTACTTTTATTAGGATGGGCTGGGAGCATGTTGCTAACTATTTACTTGTATTTATTCATGCTCTATAGCCTGACAATTTTCTTTTATCTTGATGTTGTAGAGCTATACCCGTGCGATGCACTTTCCAGATACAACGCAACTAACTTAATTGTCCTAACTTTCCATCGGGATAACACGATACGATGTAGTAATAATAAGAGATAGCTCTCCGGTTAATCATCCATGAATCCATCCATAGAGTCAGTAGATATAAGAGCTCCGTGGACTTCTCCGTTCACTTCTTCTACGAGGTCACCGTGTTCTCCCCCGGCCCTCATCTCTTGAAAGTCACAAAACGGTCAAGTACGGATCTTTCTACCGTTGAGCGGGTTTTTCGTGTTTGATATCTATGGACATGGTAAATCCCCAGTGAATCCACAGCATAAACTTTCTAATTTTCTACTCGAGTGTTCCCGAGAAACCCGAATTTCACGTTATGGAAAGTTAACCTTGGAAGCCGGCCCGGCCGTTGCAGCCGCATGTTCTCCAATTACGTCTACGCTTCACAATTATCTCACTTGAAGACATCTAGAGAACGTATTTAAAACCTTCGCATCATAACATTACACGATATGCAATTTCCTAAAGGAACAAGCCCGCTTGATGAATAGCTAAAATAAAAATAACGAAGACAAACTCAAAAATAAAAACATCAAGTCTTTTTTGATGAGAAAAAATCAAGATGCACGCTGTGGGAACAATCTGAATACGGAGTAGATCTAAAGGAAGGGAAGTTAAGGCAACATAAACATAGTAATGCTGGAAATCTCACGATATTGATGTGAAATACGAAAGGGAAGGGGGAATGGCCGGGAGATCATGAAGAGCGGGCAGCAGTAAAATGGGATACAAGCAGAGTAACACATGATATAACATGCATTTGCATACCATAACGTCCGACATGAATGTTATCGATGATAAATGGTACATGCCAGGTGACAAATATAAAAGGGGGGGAATAGAAAAGAAATGCGTCTCAATTCAGCCGTTGCTCTCATGAAAACCATGGATCTCTTAGAAAACCTAAAATGAAATAACTGGGGAAATACAAAAGGCGTCCAAAGGCAGAGAGTCACAAAGTTCAAAACAACGTATGTAAAGCCAACTATCACGGCATGGCCTGCTTTAAAAAGGGGCTGCTAAGCAACTCGTCCGCACTCGGTCTCTTCTCATGATTAATCTCAAACGTCATATCCAGAAAGGCCATGGCCTCCTTGCTCGCATTTTCTGGCGGCGGGGGCCGTGCCTGATTGCTTCCAATCGCAAATATAGCCTGCAGCTGACTACAGTCAGGAAACGGGTGGGCGCCAATGAACATCTCAACGACGAGACAGCCCAGACTCCATATGTCGGCCTTTTTGGTATGCGCCGTTTGCCGCACGACTTCGGGTGCCATCCAGTACACACTTCCCTGGAGAGAAGGGCGGTGTAAGTGACCTGCTCCCCCGCCAAGGTTCGCACCACTGCCTAGCACGGTGGATGCCTCGACGCGTTTGGAGATGCCAAAGTCGGAGATTTTGATGCCGCCTTTGTTGTCGACGAGGACGTTGGCGCCCTTTATGTCTCTGTGGATTATGTCGCGGCTGTGAAGGTAGGAGAGGCCGGCGAGGATTTGGCGGACGAAGTTTTTGATGAGGGGTTCTTGGAAGGTGTTGTATTGCTTGAGCATCATGGCTATGGAGCCACCCGGGACGTACTCGAGGAAAATGTTCAGGTGTTGTTCGTCTGCTGATGTTCCGAGATACTGGACGATGTTTGGATGTTGGAGGCCCTGGAGAAGGTCAATTTCGTGCTTGAGGGCAGCAACCATCATGTTCTTCTTTTTGTCGAACTCTGTTCCCTGGGTTGCTGAAGGGAGTTCTACTTGTTTAACAGCCATGAGTTCCCCGGTGATGGAATGGAGGGCGAGGAAGACGCTTCCAAAGGAGCCCTCGCCGATGAGAGATCCCTTCATCCAGTTTTTGTTACCGAAATTGTCGCCAGCCAGGAAAGCGTTCAGGCCATCGTCTTGCTCCTCTCCATCCTCTGCAACTATCATGCTAAGACGTTCGTTGATCGATCCACCATCATTCAGGGTAAGTGCCTCATCCAAGAAAGTCTGACGATCAGTCTCCCCGGAAGTCTGGTCGGAGCCACTGTCAAAGGAAATATATGATTTTCGGTTAGGTTCAAGAGATTCTTCTTGCAGTGGCTGTAGGGAAGTGGACACTATGGAATCTCGGAATGATATCTGAGGCAGGTTGAACTTGGAAACAGACAATGGTCTCGCAGGTCTCCCCCCAGGACCATTAGTTCCAGTCAACCAAGTGTCTGCAATACTAGGGATGGGTGGGGCATCTCTCAGACTTGAGGCATAGCTGGAATTGCTAACAACACTCAGACGGCTTGCGGCACGGCTCATACGTTGAGATCTTCGGACTGATAAACGCATTGTTTTTTCAATGTCTTCCTTCTGGTGGCTTGGAAAATACGACGTGAGCTCGTGAATAATCATTTCACTTGGTGGTCGAGCACCGAAAAACGACCGCAACTTCGCAGACTGATGTCTTTCCGAAGGTGTTTGTCTTTGGAACTCATCTCTATTTCGGTCAGAGGACATGGGTGACAGTGGCTGTCTAATGTTATGCCATGACTCGCCAGTCAGCTTTTGCAGTTTGATCTGGTTCCGCACGTTGGTGCCACTGAGGGCATTTAAATGGGCCGTCTGAGTCTCATCAAGGGCAATCTGAGCTGCTCTCTGGAGTTCTTCCGGTTCGGGTTCACCAGCGTGGATTTTCCTCAGGATTAGCCGGCCGCGTTCCGATCTATGGGATCCATCGCATATTTTAAGCAGTTCTGAATCCGACAGGCGACGGCAGTTGACTGGGTTTGGATCTAAGCCGTCCAGAACATAAAAGCAGTAGTTTTTATAATGGGATTCTGGAAGTAGAAGCTTTCTCAAAACGCAGATGAGAATATTCTCTGGGCTTTTACAATGCTTTATGTTCAAGACTTTGGTCTGTCCGCCGGAATGTATCACTCGAATAACCGGCGAATTAGGAGGAAGGGAGCTCATGGTGATTCCATCCATACTGGGACTTTGTCTGACGTGGGTGATCGTTCTGGCAGTTTGGGGGACATCTCCTGGAGTTCCTGGATAGCGGGTGGTGTTAGAACCGGAATTGGGGTAATTGCTAAAGTAATTCGAACCTTGTTCCCTCCGTGAACTTTCCATCGGGCTAGCGACTGGATACCGATACGATCGCAAGCCACGGTCAGAATCTGCTTGGGGTGAAGACGGTCTGGACGTTTTCCCGGGTACTGTATAGCTTGTGTTGTAGCTTGTTAGAGGGTCGAGATGGCGTGACCATCGGCGATTTCCTCCCGCCTGTTGTCGAGAATTTGCTCCGCGGGGAGATTCAGAAGAAGGGGGTACGAAGCTCGCGGAATCGAGGGCAACTAATGAATCCTATAATATCTTGATAAGAATAAGGGATTATTGGGGTTTCTAGCAAAAAAAAAAAAAAAAAAAGTTAAACTTACCCTATTGCGCTTTTTGCGATTCGACGCGTTTTTGTTTCTGAGTTGTTTGATGGCCACGAAAATCCGGACCCGGTCTCCGATTTTCTTGATTCCCATTTCCTGAAGAATCTTCTGATCGCAGTCAAGGAGATTATCGCCATTGAAGTTATTTGCTGGTAAGTTCCAAGCGTTAGTTAAACGGACGATGGTTCACATGCGGCACGGAACACATCCGGGAACTCGATGCGATTTCGCATACCTTTGAAGAGCGGCTCGTATTGACCGCATCGTATACTATGTAGCCAATCTATCACCCTTTTCTCGTCCCACGACCTGTAGAAAAAGAAGTCTGTCAGAGTTGGTTGAAAGAAAGTATGGTTCGTTGGAGCATTTGCGACCCAAAGGAAGGTGATCAACCAACCGAACGGAGTCCAGCGTATCATATCCCTCCGAGAAATCCGACTCTGTGGGGCTAGTGTATGGGCCATCGCGGGTAGAGGTGCTCGTAGATGATTTGTGAGCTGGTAATGACATATATGGCGTAGATAAGGACGATGATGGCTGGGAAGAAGTGTGCATTGGCAACACCGCAGAATATTGGGGTTGGGAGCTCAACATCGTGCCAAGTTCCGGAGTTTTAACAAATCCGCACACTCGATTGAGAAAAGATATATATATATAATAAAGATCACCAACGGAGATATCACGGTAGTCTAAAATGCCACTGAGCAATGTTCAGAGAGTGTGCTGGAGACGTTCGTGCTTGGTGGTGCCCTTTGGCGGAAATACCTTGACACCACGCAGAAAGATAAGAAACGAAGCAGACCAAGGAGGATCAAAGGGAAGCCTGACAAAACGATAGTTAATATACAAGAACGATGTCTAAAGAAAACACCAGTGATATACTTTCGCAAACGAGGGTTGTTCTTTCAAACAGTATTTAATTAAACATCAGATCTGTTCAGGAACGGCCGGTGTCGGAGAAACGAAGAGCATCAGCCGGGGAAGGGGAGTTCAGCGGTCATCACCCAGCCCCTAGAACAAGGGTGAGAGATGAGTTCTCAAAGCAGAGATGAAAGTTGTTGTTTCAAGAGTAGAAGAAAGCGTAGGGATTAAAAACAAGATGTCAGAGAACGCAAATGGGAGAGGGTGGGTGGAATTGAGGTTTGGGGTACCCATGGAGTGTTAAGACATTAGCCAAGGAGTGAAGAATGACCGTGGTGGAATATCAAACTCCACAATTACACCACAACAACAACCAGGCAAGAGAGGTATCAAAACTTTTGAGGTTATGTGAGTGTGTTAAGAGTGGAGACTCTGTGCCAAAGTTTAGGCAGCGTTGAAGTGAGGAGGAGTTGAGGATGCAAGAGTGGTGATGATGATGATGTTGATGATGATGATGATGAATGATGATGATGATGTTGTTGTTGATGATGAGGGTGATGAGGTTGATGATGAGGGTGATGGATGATGATGATAATAAAGTATGTGCTCAGGAGGAGAAAGGTAAAACAAAGATCAGAGGCTGCGGGGTCTGATTGGGCGCAGTCTCCAACTCGAAACTTCAGCGGGCGAATTCTGTGACAAGCCGTCGTCCAGTTGCGAAATAGAAAGCAGGAAAAACAAATACTAAATCGATCGATGACCCAGCCTAGACGCCTTTTTGTCGCCTGTTCGATCTAGGCGTGGCGTGAAGCAGAAGAACGGACTTGGTGTTTTTTCAGCTGAGTGGTGGGGGGATTTAAATTGGATCCAGAGACACTTATATCCCCCGTCTTCCTCTTCTTTAACATTATTCCATACCTGTTGCTGACGTTGACGTTGCTGTTGCGGTTGCTGGTGTTGTCGACAATCCATTTACTCTCTCTTTCTATGTATGAATGAATAGGGATGGATGACTCTCGAGCCGTATTGAGGTCCAACGGTTCCTGAGGCCGCCCTGATACGAAACCCTAATGTTTAGTTAATCGCGAAGGGATTGCAATCCCTGGGTTGAGTTTCCCTTTCAATGAGTTTGAGCAGGGCGTAAGAATAGCCAAGCATAAATAATTACATCCTACCCAACATCCAAAAGATCGTAGACAACAACAAACAATAACAACCCACATCCACATCCACAACACGGTTTACCCTCTCACTGCGGATAAAATGATGAGGGCACAGGGATGGATGAGGGCAGAGCCACTCAGGATGTAGGGGGAAGGGAAATAAATGTCTTTTTAACTTTACTCTCTACGCGACGAATCTGAAGCTCTCTGTCCTGTCAAATTTGCCTCGCCTCTCTGGCGGTGTCCCTGTCCATCAACGCATGGGCAACAATAATAGCATCATCATCCATGGATCCCGATGATAAGGGGCTATATTATTAGGCCATATATATAGAAAACCCCCCATATATGTTTCACCTTACCTCCCTATCCGTGGGCTATCTTCATATTTTCTTTTTCTGTAAAAAATACCGTCCTTTAGGAGATCTGGACGGAATTTAACTGCCATTTTCACATCCTCTATCAGACCGTGTGTTTGTCAATCCCCCCATCATGCTCGTGATGCCCCAAGCGTTTCCCAACATTTCCTTCCCTAGTCCCATACTTCGTTTCGCTGCCACATGTTTCAGGATAACCTTATTTCAAACGGAACCTGTTCTTGTTAATTTTTATTTATTTATTTTTTTTTTTTATTTCCCGGCTCACCGCATAAACTACCCATCCAGAAAACACCAATGATAAAGTGTATTTCTTACAGGTTTGCGGTGTACGGAGTTCCGTATTGTCTTTTCTGTGGTTCTGGGTAACGTAGCACACCTCCAAGGGTCTTTTGTTTCGAACCTTTAATGACGGTATTCAGAATCTCTGGAGATTATCATTTATCCCGAGAACCCTCACACCGCCAAAAGTATGTGGGGCTTTGTTGTGATATCCGTTCGTCCTACCTGGCTGGGGCTGGTAGGCTAAATAGCACACTTTCGGCACTGAGAAATCATGAGTTGGATCATTCCGCAAACGATGAGATGGGATGAAAACCTGGAAACTATATGGTAAAAGGCAGGAAAAAGTGAAAACGAGATGAAACTCGTATTCGCTGGCTTTCATTCAAGTAAATCAATTTGGATCGATATTGATGTTGTTTGGATTTGAGCTCCTCTCCAATTCTTCTCCTCCATGGGAAATGGAAGCTGGCCTGTGGATCCTACCTTTTCGTTTGAAATGTCTCGAAGTCATAAGTCTATCTTGAGCATCCATCAAACCATTCTCGGGTAATTAGAAAGAAGCGTCTGGATGTGTCCATCTCTATTTCAAGATAAAAATTGACCCAATTGTATCTACATATTTCCATATCCTGATTCGGTTTGCTCGGCAACGAATAATAACTAACTAATGGGCTATGGGTCTGTTTATTTTGAGGCGGAGAAGAAGGTTTACCGTTAAAAGCTTCTTGTCAGTTATTAGATGCTATCAAGGTTCTAGAGCTAGTTTATACTACCTTTGATGAAGATGGGACGGTAAATATACCTCCAGCTTTCTTCTTTTCCTGCGCACTACTATTATCTTTGGGAGAGACATAATGAGAGAAGGGGGAAGATATCAAGGCAATCGCACGTTCCAACCCAGCCTCCTCTGCGTTCTTTAATAATAGGCATATGTCCAGTGTCGCAGTTTAGCCCGGTCTTATCAAGCAAAAGGAATACGACAAGAGTATCGTGACTTTCACTGTTATCAGCGAGAGCGAGGAGCGTAGATCCGTCTTCTCTGCTCTAAAGCCAATTCCCAGCAGTTCGTGATTGGAAAGCCAGGGTGAGAGTTCAGGAGATTAGGTCGTCCTCTGATAACTTTGATAGCAGGGAAATAATTACGGAATATAGAGCTATCAAATGTATTGGGCGATCAATTAAAATCGCTAATTTCACATGCGGTTGCACACCTTTATATCGGTGATGAAAAGGCAGTCATTTTAACACCATAGCCAACGCTTTAATATATTGCATGACCTTTGGACTGGATTCTCCGTTCCGGAGGAGCGGACTTGCTGCAGCTCTCAATGGAACTGGAATATCTTGGTTCTTGACATCAAAACAATCAGCTTGCAGGGCAGAATATAATAATTTCTTCCGCTCCGCAAAGTAATGACCATTTAGGAATTCCAAGAGGAATTAGGATCCACTCGCCACAAATGGATTGCGCAGAGTTCCTAGCAATTGTGCATGATATGCATCAACCAAAACAGCCCTAATTATACGAGTTAACTAGTTTACCTGTTAGCTATTTATGTGAGATTAAGCATTTTGGTGAACATGCTGCCGAAAAAGAATGCCGCACTGCGGAAATGGCATGGCATGGTAACGATAACGATAGGTTGTCTTTTAATCTGACGTCTCCTCTGGTTGGAGCAGTGAAAGCTGGTGGCTTGCATTGTTAGTTAGGGCGTTGGGAGAACATAGTTTGCGGGAGAAAATGAGATTCTCTCAATAACCACTGACAAGGTAACCAGTTTGTCCAATTTCGGAATCCCGAAACATGAGCCATTCTCTGGACGAAAAGCAATAACGGATTTGGCGGACTTTGGATTTCATCTGATTCGATCTCAGCATTCATCCTTGATAGATATGATGTTATTATCTATTTCGTTTCCATGTGGATTTAGGCATGGATTGACTGAACGGGTTAGCACGATGATGGGCTAGCGTAAGCCTGAAGCGTTAAGGTTCCAACGACGCCTTCCAGCTAGTGATCCTTCACCGGGAGCAAATATCATTGCTGGTGCAGAATTGAAGCAAGTTGAATTCTGACAAGTTGACGGTAAGGTCGGATGTAGATATAAGAAATGCGATAAATATGCTTTCTAGACAATTCCAGGGCAAACAACTCGCCATCTTGTTTGTATGCTCTGCATGATAAGTGGGGTAATTAGTTGGGACTGTGAGCCAGTCAACGGCCGTTAAGAAAATGGGGCTCGTAACTAATGTGTCTGTCCTCATTAGGAAATATTGTCGAGTTCAGAACATAGAAAAACTGGGCCCGGGAGGATACCTACAAAGTCAATGCAGTATATAACGTAGAATTGAATCCGGATGCTGAAGACAGCAATCCATTCCATGAATCTGTCATCTTGTCAATATAACAAAATTAAAAAATTACAATGCGCAAGAAACAAACATGTGTCTTCCTAGACCTGATTTTGTGCAAGGCTCCTCTGATGCACCAAAGCTGAGTATGTCCAGTTAAGCTCGTTTGGGTTTCGGGTTTCCTCGCCATTCTGATATACACCATAGGCATTGGCAATAAGGACTGGTAGGATCGAGTTGTGGAGGAAGAGGAATGGTTGGAGATATCAGTGAAGGCAGCATGGGATAGAGGTGATGACGGCCACGGATGCAAATATGTTCAAGCCTTTTTGTCACAAGGCAACATTAGGATCCCCATCTGGGATACGGCCAATGCCGACTCCGCATTCCAGTGTTGTGAATGAGAGAAAAGTTGAACATCTCATGGCACAAATTTACATTATTGGCCAAATGTTGCAAGACAGTCCTTGAA